CGAGGTCTAGGGTAGAAAAGTATTGACAATGGCCTAATTTGTCGAGTATGTCCGTTATGTTAGGTGTCGGATAACGGTCGTCGATGGTTTTGGCATTAACGTACCGGTAGTCCACTACGATACGCCATTTCCTCTTACCCGAGGCGTCCGCTTTTTTGGGTACGATCCAGATTGGTGAGGACCACGGAGAATCGCTGTGTCTAATGATGTTTTGTTGTAACATGTCACCGATTTGTTTTTCTACTTCAGGTTTGTGTATAAACGGATATCGATACGATTTGGTATAGACCGGAAGTTCGTCAGTAGTTTTTATCCTATGTTTTACTTGAGTATTGTTATGAATTTCTACTGGGGCATAGCCGTCGCTCGCAGTTGTTAAGCATTCTTTTAAAATACAGTTAGACAACGAGGTTTTGTAAATACTAATGTCGCCGTTTGGTATTGTTACAGGGATGTTTAATATTTCTATAGTGTTGGGTTCAATTCGGGTAAAAAATAGTAATTTTGACTTTGCTTCATAGTGTGACATTTAATTTGAGCTTTAGGTGTTTTAAGTAAAGGCCCATCCTCAATCAATTTGGTAGCGAAGTAGCACTTCGGCACGCAAGCTAGGAAAATGTAGTTTAACGTTGGCATCCTCAATTCAATTCCGTGCTGGCATGCACGCCGACTTCGAAGTGCAAGCTTGCAAGCTGCAATCTTTTTCGATCCGTGCCGACTTATGTCATGCGCAGTACGGTAAAAAATAATTTAGGTTATCCTTGCGTTCGGTATTTTGCTCAAAGAGCAGAGCGGAGTCGTAATCACGTGACCAGCGAGCGCACAGAGCAGTTAAACGCTGTATCAGAGGCTCGAAATTTTATTAAACGAACGTGAATGAGCCTGCACCGAGTTCACTTTTTAAATAAATGAACGGTAAACTCATGCTCAGAGAACACAGATCAAAATACCGAACGCATGGTATGTGACCGTACTACACGCACAGCAGACTGAAAATTGACAGCATTGAGGATGGGTATCAATTTCCCAGCACGCGTGCCAAAGTGCCACTTCGCTACCAGATTGATTGAGGATGTAGCTTAAGTCATTTTGTAAGTCCAATTTGACATTAAGATCTTTTAAAGTGTCATAGCCAATAAGGCCATCAAAATAATGATGAAATTTGAATAAATAGAATTTCAATTTATTTTTGGACTTGAATTCTTCGAAAGCTGGAATTTCGGCACATTGGTCTCTAGTAGTGGTTTGAAAAACAGAGGAAATTGTGAATGGCTTTTTTCTTATGAAATTTTCGAAATATTTTTCAGCAATTTCCGGATTGATAAAGGATTTTGAAGCTCCTGTGTCTATTAATAGCTTTAAGGGTGGATTTGCTATTTTAACATAAGGGAGATCCTTTTTGTCATAAATAGAATGTATTTCTACGGCATCTCGGCGGGAGGCTCCGCCTCTTGAAAATTTTGTTCAATGGGAGTTTGATCGTAATTTTCAGGTTCATTGGTTTCGGTTTGACCGTTACTTGGGTCATTGTAAAAATCTTGGGAGTCAACCTGATCGTTTTGCATTGAATAATTATTGTCGTTACTACCATCACCATAGCCTTGGTAATCATAATAATAATTATAATTTTCGGCGTAGTGAGGATTTGGAATTAGATAGTAGGGTGCATTTTCTACATTATGTAGTTGGAAATTTTGGTTATTGAATCTATTGGTACCGTGAGATACGCCACTCATTGGTACTGGTTTTTGAAAATTTTGGGCAGCTTCAGGGTTTGGTTTCCAAACATTTTTGGGTGAACCAAACACTTGTTGGTTGGTGAAAAATTTTTGCGGTGGCATTTGTCTGGGATTAACGTTTATTGGGGCACGCGGAAATGTGTTTCCGGGTGATTGAAACGTTTGTGTTGGCGTGTAATTTTGCTGAAAAGTGTTGAAACGTGGAAAGTTATTTTCATGAAAATTCTGCTTCTGTTGATTTTGATATTTATTTTTATTAGCAAAATTATCATTTTGGGGTTTTTGTAAATGTCTTATGTTACTTTCCGAAATGATGTACTGTCTAGCTTCGGCTAGATCTTTTGGTTTCATCGAACGGATCGTTGAACCTAGTGGTTCTTTTAAACCTGCCAAAAATATTGTTAAAGCATGTAAATTATAAAAATTCTTTTTAACAATACTTGTTGGATCATTAAAATGATTGTGGGTATCAATATAATTATGTAAAGCACTTAAATTAGACATAACTCTAGTATGGAATTGCAAAGGGGGTTCATTTGCGTATTGTCTGAGTTGATCCAAATCAAACAATAAGCCATTTTCGTTTCTTTGATCACCAAAATGTGCAATCAAAGCGTCTTTGACTGTCTTCCAGTCCTTAGATACGCAAATGCTGTAAACTTCCCTAGCTTTACCAATTATTTTAACATATAGGTATTCCATAAATTATTGCGAGATTTTGCACACAATTGAGATCTTCACTATTCCAATAAGTCGAAATCAGTTTTTGACTTATTTCAAGGAATGAAGCTAACTCTAAAGGGTTGCCATCGAATTTTGGCACTATTTCGAGTAGTTTGGTTTCGAAATGTGGTGGAGCCATCGTTTCGATTCTCTCGCTTATGGAAATATTTGAAAATAAATTTTCTAAATGTAAAGAAGTATTTAAAACTAACTGATTTGAATAATTACTATTATCAATTAAAATTGACCCGTTTTCACTGGTTTCCGTCTCAGAATCAGATAAATCCGGGGAGTTAGACATAGACAGGTAAAGGACAATGTAAAGAAAATGGGACTTACAATAGGAAGCTCTTCATTTTTCTTCTTCAATCTTCACCTCTCTTCACAACTATTTCACACAAGTCTTACACAATACACAATGTTCTTGTCCGTTTAACAGAGTTTTTGTTTCCGGGTTCAAGGTTCGTTTCTTGAATTAACGATTAGGACCGAAGGGTTTTTCGACGAGAAAGCCCTTTCAAGAATCCGTACGACTGCGCCACTTTACGTTTCCGGTAATAAAGAAACCGTTTTTAAAAAATTAACTTTAATTTAAAAATTACAACTTCAAAAATAATAAAGCAAAAGTACTTGTGAACAGCTCAAAGTCTATGTCTAATCTGAAAGTTAAAAGTTTATTCGTATGGGGCATCCTGGTTTCAAGCTTACACAGTTCTCAAGAAACTGCTTAGGTCGGCGATGCAATGGTCAGCATGTTCCCACGAATGGCACACATAACTGGGTTGCTTTATACAGGGCGAAAAATAAAATAATGCGTTTGATAAAACCCTCCATATCTTGTTTATTATAAAAGAAGATACAATTAAGAAACTTCCGAGTATAGGTGTAGGACTGGATGTAATATACATATTACAATACAAAGGATTTTATAGAATGCTCTTTTTTCTTTTTGGCCCTGTATATCCCTTGCTATTCCGAGTTCAAAGAAGTTGATGACCAATTATATATCAAGTATGGTGGAGTATGAAGAACTCATCTTTTTATTTTTCAAGATATGTTCATCAAGTACCTTAGAAAAATACAATTCAACCAGAAGTCACTTAACTTAACGATTATTTGTTTCGAAACATGTTCTTTTGCAAAATCACAGTTAACTCCTGACTTCTAGTTAATTGACTGGCTACCACAGATTGTGAAACTGGCCGTTAGAGTGTCAAACAACTTTTTTTTCTCGCATCACCCAAGTGGACATGCACCCTGTATTTCAGGTTTTGTTGTATGTTTAAGTTACTATTCAGAAGTTGTAGTAGAAAATGTAGCTCCGATTCAAAAGCACTCTGTATAAGTATTGAACGAATGATGATACTTCAACCCTAGAGTCTTCTCGTATAGAAGAACCAGAGGAACTTTGCACAGTAATGATTCAAAGATTCGGAATCTGAGAAGTCTTTGGAGAAGATTCAGGAAATTGGCACAGTAAGTAAGGAAAAATTTTGAATTGTTTGACAGAGGTTTATTTGAAAAAAAATTTAAATAAATTCAATATGTATAATTGTAATCTTGTATGTCAGAGAAAAATTGACTTCTGAACAGTCTCTTATAATCAATTAATGAACAAGAAAAAGATAAAATAAACCAGTTGATAAGTAAGTAGATAATCCTGCTTGGACAGCTCCCACGCTACCACCATTGTAACCAATTTTTAGTTTCTCTAGCACCATTATCATCATCATACCTATTTAAAAACCCTAGAAAAGTTTGATTTTCATGCGGTTAACATTTTTGTCATTTAAAATTTAACTTACTTGAAGTGGCCTTTTTAGAATGACTTTTTGCTTTAAGACGATTCCTTTTTTTAAGATGCACATCAGCAAAAAGCAGCGAGGCAATCAATAGAAACAGAACGACACCGGACAGTTTCATTTTTCAGTTTAAATTGATTCAATTTTGATTACTTTATATTATAGTTATTATCCAATATATTTTTATTGATTTAATTACTAGTCCATTGTTTCAAATTAATTGGATATTGTATCAAGTTACAGATAGCCAGGCGATGAGCATGTGTTGTTCGTTCATAGATTTGAAGAAACCCAGGAGAGAATTTGAATCAGAATAACATCAGCGAATAATAAAGGAAAATGGTAAGTTAGTAAGACAGGAACAGTGGCTACATGGAAATGTCAGCCATTACATTTTCTTACAAATTAATCCAGGATCAACTCAGAACAGCCACCAAACTGTACACGTTTGTACACAACAAACCTAAACAAGCATCTACTTCAATAATAATGACGTTATGTTGATGAAAATACTTGGAGTAGATGGACCATTGCACACAATTCTTAATTTGAAGTTTCTGTTTACTGTGGATAGATCTTCTATATCCACTACAACTATAAGTAGTTGTATTTTATGAAACTCGTATAAGACTTTCTACAATTTACAAGTTGACTTTATCTTATAGAAGAAAATTGACACAAAATTCATGGATAAGTTCTGATGCCAATTAATAAAATTTCCTAACATTAAATTTACCTTATGTTTCCTTAACAACCCTTTAATCTGTGCCACAGAAGGATAATCATATCTCAAAGGATCCGTATGATCTCCAGTGCTATTCATCAGGCACAGCTCTTTGATGTTGACCTCGCTGGCTCCAGCTAAAATCCCGTCACCTTCAGTATGTAAAAAGCTGTCAGTGGAAAGCAGAATAATTTTCCTGGAAAACTCTGACCAGCCAAATTGCTGGCTGCAAACCAGGATTTGGAAGATGGCTTCTAAAGCTCCGTCTAAGTCGTCGACGTTGGCTGATATTTTGCTGTTTTGGACCTAGAATAAAGATTATAGAGGAATAATTTAGTTTTGTTATTTCATTTTTAGTAGGATAGTTTGGTAAGTAAGCTAGTAAAGTATACCTGTTCAAAAAACAAGCTCATATTATCAGTAAAATTCAGACTGTGCTTGAACAAATAAGTTTTCTCGCACTTTTCCGCTCCAGTCTGACAAGGATTCTCGTACTTGTCTTTATCGGTCCATATAAAAGGCATTCCAGGCTTGTCCAAAAACGAACCATAAGCCAATTTATAATGTTTCGTTAATTTTTCCAAACTGTTACCTAAAATTGGGTATATAACCTGTAGAACTAATATGTCTATACCCACCTAATTCGTCTCCAATATTTTTCAAAGTTTCCAAATGAGTTTTCATTGAATAACTCAAATCGCCTAAATAATAGAGCTCTAAGGGGTAGTTTTTAGCTGCTTTGTACGTAAATGTTAAATTGACTGCTGAATCTGGAATAAATTTCATAACAATCATATTATCTTCTACTATAAGTTGAAGCTTAGGAACCTTTTCTCAAAATCACTCTGTAAGATTGAGGTTTGATCTGTATAGCACTATTAGCATCTTCAGCACTACTGATTGCAGTAAAATCCAAATTTTGTACAAATTTCACTGAAGAATCTTGATTAAATTCTTGTCCAGAAGCACCACAACCTGCACTACTGAGTGCTTCTTCAAAGTCGCACTTATAAATTCCTGTAAAATTCTACAAAGAAGAAATTTAAGTTTGCAAGTTTTAGTTCAACTTTACCGTGTTGTCGTAGCACCAATTACAACAACTATGAGCTAGCATGCAATTGCCACAGTTTTTTTGTTCATGGCACAACAATTTCAGTATTTCTGGACAATCGTCCGCTTGTACACACACGAAACTCGATATTACCAATAAGGACGCTACTAGTTTATACATTGTTCAAAATAAATACATCCGCACCGGCATAACACTGTAATAATACTGAATTTAGAAAACAATAAAACTCAAAATAGTAAATGCATTTATTTTCAAATCGTAAAGTTGGGTACGTAGAGCCGTTAAAATTTGATACGATTATTAAATGTTGTGTATAGGAGTTTTATTATACAGTTTCAGTAAATGCAAAGGCAGACAGTCACGCTGATAAAAGCGATAAAAATGTACGTTATCTACATTTAAATCACACATGAGCAATTATTAGATAACATACATTACTTATTTGTCAAACTTGGTATATGAATTTATCTTGTGTGGATTGTTCTTATGAATCACTAGCAGTTTATTTATAACTATGCATTTCATCATGGAAAATATTGCGACATTTGATGACGTAGGCAACGGAGCTAGAGCATTTTACCTTTTTCCAAAAAAATGAGACCGATTGATTGATTATGTGAATAATCTGTTTTAGATAGGAGTTCTTTAAAATCCGTTCTTAGTGGGGATCTACGTTGAGAAAGGAGTATATATGTTAATGTATACCTAAGGCAAAGTCTTGACAAAAAACTGCTTTCACGACTCCAACTGGACACTTTGAGTTTAATCGTATGCCTTTCGGTCTTAAAAATGCCCCTGCTTATTTCCGAAAACTTATGAGTGCCGTCCTCTTTGATTGCAGGGATTACAATGTTTTATTTATCTAGATGATGTGGTCATCTACGGTTCATCCTTGAAAGAACAAATATCCCGTATAAAAGCTGTTTTCGATAGACTTAGTAATAATAACTTAAAAATTACAACCAGACAAATGCGAATTTTTACGTAGGGAAGTTCCCTATCTTGGTCATATTATTTCCGAATCGGGTGTAAAACCTAACCCTGATAAGATAAAGGCTATTTATTCATAATTTTTCTACACCCAAAGATCAAAAATCAATAAAAAGTTTCCTTGGTTTAATTGGCTATTTTATTGATAATTTCGTAAAACTTGCTAAACCTTTCACGAACCTATTAGAAAAAATATTTCCTTCGATTGGTCATCCCAATGCCAAGAATCCTTCGATATATTTAAATCAATTCTAATGACCGAACCATTATAGATACTCCAGTATCCAGATTTTTCAAGGGAATTTATTTAAACTACGGACGCCTCGAACTTTGGGATTGGTGCCGTCTTGAGTCAAGGGGAAATCGGCAAGGATTTATATCCATAGCTTATGCTAGCCGTATACTAAACACTAGTGAACAAAATAATACCATAATGCTACTTGTATGGGCGAGAATTTACCGTTGTTACAGACAACAAACCTCTAATATGGTTGTTCAATTGCAAAGACCCAGGCAGTAGACTAATTCGATGGCGTCTATTACTCAACGAGTACCGTAAACTAGGGTGACTTTGCCAGTTTTTGAGGGTTTTTCATTGATAACATGAAATACTTCAGCTGTAGTGCCTGATGTATATTATATGTCAAATTTAGGCATGTTTTCTATAATCAGTAATTTTTTCAAGGTCCCATAATAATGGATTATATTTATTTTTTTTTGGCCTAAAAGTTGGCAAAGTTACCCCGGGATTGGGGTAATATTGCCATGCCATATAACTAGCTAAAAAAGCCAAAGTTAGACCAGTTTTGGTCAAATTTTTGTTTAACGTGAAATTTCCAACATTTCCGTGCAAAAATCACAAAAATATCTTGAAAAATAAAAAAGTTATTGAGTATTTTGAAAACTCCTTTATTTTAGACACTAAAATTTCTGAATCAACTGAAAACCTAACACTAACTGAAACAACATGTTTTTTTTTGCCTAAAATTCTGGTAATCTATCTAATCACTAGTATTATTATTACAGAAACCATACTAGTTAAATTTAAAATTTGTCAAATCGTCTTCGAAATAGAATAAATCTCATGGGGTAACATTGCCATTAAAATTAAAATTGTTACCCCAAGTTTTTTCTGATAATTTTGGCAACATCGTTTTATAATGGTTATAACGTCAAAAGCTACACAAAGCTTGTATGCACCGGCTTCTAAAAGAGAACGGAAAGTGTTTACTAGGCTTGCAATATTGTCACTTTCACGTAAAAACATTTATTTTATTATAGACGCATTGCTTGGCAAAGTTACCCCTTTAGGCAAAGTAACCCCAGTGTACGGTACCAATATAAGGTGGTGTATAAACCTGGTAAACTAAATTCAAATGCAGATGCGTTATCTCGGCATGTAAAGATCAATATAATCTCCAAGAGTGATACTTGTGAAAATTTTATAGAATATAGAATATCATTATACAACATTGGATATCATACCACAACTTGAAACTAAAAATGGAAACCTGTTCGAAAGTTTTCCTAATGCTCTGTACCTTTCCACTGATCTAGACGAATGTAATGATTTCTCCCAAACTATTAAGGATATATTTTACTCTCTTTGCAATTACGTGGATAAAGAACAATATTGAAAACATACATATTCCAGATATAAAGGCGGTTACACACGGACGTGGATGTCTGAAAACGTGTACGCACATACATGAACGCGCAAACAAAAACATCAATGTGTATGCAAAATACTGTCGCGTTTTTGAATGTGCAAACTGTAGAATGATGCTCAAATGAATTCTGGAATCGCTAGAAATTTGTATGCACACTCGGAATACTGTGGCAAGAGTAGCAAGACTGACAGTTTTGTGCGAGCGTCTGTACAAAGGTGACATGCACGTTGTTGTTTGCACGTTGACGTATGCACGTATATGTATCAAGCCATCCACGTCCGTGTGTAACCGCCTTAACACTGAAAAATAATAATATCAAACGGCCAATGTATTTTGAAATAATTTGTTGTGGAAACAGCCAAACTATCGTATTTATTTTTTATGATCACAGTGGCAACGTTGCAAAAAAGCCCCCCGCCGTGAAAACTTTGCTGGCGCCGTACCAGGCTGTACTGCATTGATCCAGTCTGGGTTGTTGTCGCTAAGGGAAAAAATGCATTCCTTATCTTTTTCACTTCGCAGTGTGATTTTAGCAGTGTGATTGTAGTAGTGTGGTTTCACTAGCAGTAAATAGTGCGTAAAAACGTCTAGCTCTATACAAGTTTGAACCTGCTCACTTTTCTCTAATTATTTAATTATTCTCTCTAGTTGCACCCTTGTGCAGTCTCTCTCTCTCGCTCTTACTTATTTTTTTACCTCTCTGGCTGCTGGCTTGAAAACTCAAGTGATATAATATCGCGTAAAACATTGAGTTAATCACACTCCCCTTTTTTAAGGGCTCTCTAAAAATATAAAAACTCTCAACTCCCGAAGATTTTCTATTAAGAATAAACTTTATCTTGTGCTCTCAATTAAAATATTAGCGTTCCGCTAATACTGACAATTATTGTTAAATTGACTATTGAGCACTTAGCAACTAGTGAATTTATACCGATTAGTGAATGTTCTCGAATAACTCAAATGCGACTTGTTAACTAACCTGTGAATAATTAAAAGTACTTGAATGTGGTTACAGTATTTATTACTTTATTAAACGATTATTTTGGCAACAATAGAGAGATGTAAAACTGGAAGTGTGAGTGCATTATTTAGCAGTGACATTCCCATCCCCTTTATGATCCAGTGATCTATCCCTAAATTAAATGTTGACACCTCAGTTAGAGGCCCTAACATAATTCATTACCTTTTCAAGGATACTAACATTAAAGTTTGCATAATAAAGAAGGAGAAGATACACCCTAAAAGGAAGAAATTAAGCAAAAATTAAAAGAAAATCATGATTCGAAATTAGCCGGTCATTCAGGCTTTATAAGAACTTACAAAAGAATTAAGGAATGTTATAAATGGGATAATATGAAAAGTGACGTGAGGAATTATATTAATCCCTTTTTAGGCAGCTTGTGGGCATTATTCTTGTAAAGTGTACCACCAAATAAATAAACTCAGGCACAGGAATGTTCAAAGAATGTAAAGAAAACAAAAAAATCTACAGCGCAGCCCTGTTTCACTCTATCTGCACTGCACTACTTCATCTGTTCTACTCTATCTGCACTATTCTATCTGATCTACTCTTTCTGCACCACTCTATCTGAGCCGAATAGTGGAATAGTTCTGTTCGGAATAGCTCCAGTTCCTGAGTAGCATTGTTCTACTGTATCTGCAATGAAATTACCGCGCAACGGCGAGCTTCGTTCTAGGTATCAGACATAGCGCCGTATACAAAATGGTTTGCAATGAAAATGTGGCGGTAAACTTGGTATCGGTTATAAGAGATGGCGCCGTATGCGGGCTTAGTAAATTTTTTTCATAAATATAAGTAAAATAGGTAATTTTGTTTTTTGTCTTTTTTGGATTTTTTCGATTTATTATGTTAGTATGGACAAAGACAAATCCAATAAAGCAAAAATCATAAAAATCAGTCCAGCTGTTCTCGAGTTATAAGTGCTAGAACCAACACAACTGTGTTTTATATATATAGATAATAATGATAACAAAATGATTCTTCATTTATTGAATAATTAATTTATTACAAAAAATGTGATAAATGAAGAACCGCTCGACCGATTTTGTGCAAACTTCACATAAACCATCTAAAAAATAGTCCGAAGAAAGCCTAAACATTTGGTTTGGCTAGGTGAGCCCGTTCTTGAGTTATAAAATTACAACGAAAAGTGGCATTAATTTTTATATATATAGATTTAGTATCCCAAAAACAATTTTGTCTGATCAAGGCGCTGATTTTATGTCAAAATTAATAAAGGAACTCGCAAAATTATTTAAAACTAAACACCTTACCAGCAGCTCCTACCATCCTGAAACAAATGGAGCATTGGAAAGATCTCACCTCACCTTGAAGGACTATTTAAAACATTACATTAATGACAAGCAAAACAATTGGAGCGAATTTATACCCTTTGCTATGTTCGCTTATAATACCCATGTACATTCATCTACTAAATTCACGCTCTTTGAGTTATTATTCGGCTATATAACAATGGCCAGACATAATATTTTACATCCGAAAGTTAAAACGCCAAAAAAAATTACTAGAGGTACTTTCGGAAATCAAATTAAACAACGGACTTCTATTACCATTTCCAGTATCTTACTTAACTATTTATAAATACTTTGAAGTCAGTAAACTGAAAGTTTTGCATTCTGATAACGTAATTATTTTTGCGATTGAAATTCCGTTGACTGACGAAATGATCTACAATCTGTTTAGCATATTGCCATTTTTCTGATATTCATTCCTATATCCTACCTGATTTTCCTTACCTACTCATGAGTATTAGTAAGGTCAGTTACGTAACAAATGAAGGACCTTACCAAGTGTACAAAGATCACAGAAGAGGAATTCATCTGCCAAAACACTCAAGCTACAAGAATTCAGGAACCTCCTAAGTGCGAAGTCGCATTGTATACCTAATTTTCCACCAAAATCCCGGCTGACTGTCACATTGTAACTTCCAAAGCGGAGTTCGAGATATGGCATCCACTGAGCGACAACTCTTGGCTTTTCGTACTATTGACACCCTTTACAACTTACTCTCGCTTGTGATACATTTCCAATCGAAGATATAAAAATTGCATCAACAGGGTTGTTAAGTTTGGAACCTAAATGCAAAGGCTATACTCAAAGTATTATTTTGGAAAGTTCAAGAATCATAACACGGAATATATCAAAACAAATCTCAGATATTAACATTGCACTTGACGAATGCTGTTATGGCAAAGAAGTCAGATTTAACAATATACCAGTTACACTACAACCAATAATAAGACTTTCCAATATCAAGCGCTTATCGGATTCCTGCTGTATTAAACTGTTCAATATTCAATACAAATATAAGTACTACTCCAGGGACAAGTCAAAACCCATCACGGATTCTGGAAGAAGAAACCAGAACAAAAATGGGCGAAGGGATTAAACTGAATAACCTACTAGGTTCTAATGAAGCCATACCAATCACATCCACTACAAATTTCACGCGAAGATCAGTCACCCCAAGACCGTCCATGAAAATGTCAGGATATATTTGTATATTTTTAGGTATAAGTTAGTTAACATTTTCTTTTCTTCCTTCTTTTTCTACCTTTATATTAAGTTAAGCTCCATATTATCTTGTTATGTTAGTTTCTTATAACTATATATCATAAAGGTTTTGTTTTAAAGAAATTTCTATATAAAAATGTCTTTTTCTTCAAGGAGGGAAGTGTTGTATACCCAAGGCAATGTCTAAAGTTATTATTGTTAGTAGGTACCTACCTACATTAATACTAATTTGTATTTACTAAATATTATAAACTATTCCTTTGTCTCATAGAACAGACACCCAAATATAGACGCAACAATTAGCAAATTGATACTAGACTAATATCTTTCAATGATATTAGTCTTATCACCAAATTAGGGTTGTTTACGAAATACTGGAAAACAACCCCATATAAAGTGTAGATTTATATCATTACTTTTCTTTGTAGTTTTAGATATAAATATAATCCTAGTCTTAAGGAACTTCATTATATTATTATCATCATTATCGTCATTGCAATATTATTCTCGGCATCGATACAACATTATATATTCCAAATTTTTCGTGATGAATAAGTGAATCAGTAGTATTTTGCTGTTATATGTTATTAAGTAACATTGTGTAAATTGTTGTGATAAAAAATAAACACAAAAATATTTTATTTATTGTTTATTATTCCTCCTTATTTCAATTTCCAAAACCACCAAAGACACTATCCCTACCAGGGACACTATGCCGCAAATATAAGACAAAACGTTTTCATAATAGTGCGGACACAAGGTTCTGGGAGAACATTGCCTAAAAAAAAATCAATTAACAAATAAATTCCACACAACAATTCCACCTACAAGTTTTGTACCATCAAAACCACAGCGCCGGAAATCAGCTTATCAGTAAAAGTGACGACGCTGTAAACTAAACCTCCACCATAACCGTTGGCTTTAACGAAATTTGCAGTTAAGCACAAGCTTGCAACCATGCTGGAAGAACCACTGATGCCCAGAAATATGGCAATGCCGTAAAGTTCGCCGTCGGAATTCGGGGAAACACCGGAACCCAACCAAATCGACGCCATCAGGCCTGTAGTGCTACCAATCAAATAAGTCACCTGAAATGTTACTACTGATTCAAGCTTCAATGTTGTTAAGCTTAAAAGAGCAGATTTCAATTTTTAATAAGAGTATGTTATTATTAACTTGAGAAGAGACTCTTCTTAAGAATTAAAATCTTCTGCACAAGAAAAACACCTTCAATATTACCAGAGCCCTGATGAAGAGATTCCTTATGAATATATTTATTAACTCTCTCATAATCAATACACAAACCTTGTCTGGACAACATCGTCCTCTACACTTCAACATAAGCGACGTCATAAATGAAGCAATATAACAAACCAAAGGTATTGTAGCTATGGTTTGACGCATTTTCTCCTTTTCCACCACTTCTATGTTGCCTCTTTCGTCCAAATAAAGTGGAATATAGATTAGGTTCAAAATAGTAAACAATCTTGAAGCCATATACCTAAAATCATGATATAGATATGGATGTTTGTAGATCAGGCCTACTTACATTAGTGCTACTAAATAAATGGTGCTCTGCTTCAACAAATGCTTATCGTGGTTGTTGGTGTTTAAATTGTTTACATCATCAGCCTCTCGTATAATCTCGTAGTCGTTTTCGAATGTGCCTAAAAGCCCGCAGTAGAAAAATAACGAGGCTAGAATGCCTATAAATACTATTATGAGGGCTATTTCCTGAAACAATTATTCATAACTTTAGCCTAATGAATTTGAAAGAATTCTGACCTTAAATTTGTAAAAATCCATTGGTCCAATACTGCTATTATCATCAGTTTGCAGTACTACAAGAGTAATCAAATAAACAGCAATGCTACAACAAACTGAAGCTGTATATCTTATGGCAGTCAAATCCGAACTGTGACTGTGGTTCCTGGATATTTCAGGTATTATGGATAAATGAGCTATTTGAACCACAGCCCATCCAACTTGAAAAAGTGTTATGCTTAAAACATAATAAGCTAGCACTGAAGATGTTAGTTCAGTGGGCTTTAAGGAAAACAACAAGGAAAAACCTGTTGCCACTGAAATGGTACCACCAAAGTGCCAAGCCCGTCTGTCTCCTGTGTAATCTATTGCCCAACCTGCCAATGGTGTAGCAACAGAATCGATTACTTGACCTAAAAAAAACCATTAAGTACATTTTCATGAATTTTAGCAAAAATATAATTTACCTATCATAAGCAAAGTTCCTGCAGTAGTACTTTGTATATTGAGTACCACGTTGAGGTAAAATAGTGTGTATGAGAACCACATTGCGGCGCACAAATCGTTGAACACATGTCCTAAGCCGAAACTTAATTTCTGGACTATTGAGCTTGTTGGACGAAAATTAGGTTCGTCCATTATGTTCATTATTATACAGACATTTTCACCACTAAATTTACTAAAATAATAATATTTCCTATAAGGTTTCTCCTTGTATCAGCTCATATTTCTTAGTTTTCAATCAAATTTCCCTTATTTCTTTTTCTATTTTATTTGTACTATGCTAATTGAATTATGAAAAGGGAAATGAATATATTGGATGTTAAGGCTGATTCATATGATGTTTTTATTGAAAGTTGTGCTTTGGCTTGAAGAGTGTAAAGCAGCATTAATGATTTAGTAATCTGAACCGTTTTATTTCTGCACCGATGAGTCTAAGATATAATTTACATGTATAAGTAGGATTCTCATGTATATTTGTTACAATAGAACTTGCCTTAAAGATTGAAACAGAGTTTATTATTAAAAATTTTAATAATGTGGAGGACTACAATTACTGACAATTTCAGCTCATTTTGTAGTTAAAGTTCTAGAGGTGAAACCTCGCTAAGAAAAGAGGGAGAACTTTTATCATTTTTCAACTTTTCCGCTGATCTTGTTTCAAATATTTCAGCTTCAATTCCCACAATAAGTATATACAGTTTGAGCGATCCCAACATGGAAAATTATAGATTTCAACATTTTTGTACTAAGATGAAGATAAACTAAAAACTATGATAAATATGACGATCATTAGTCGCTAATAAACAACAATTTTGATAAATAAACCTGGAGAATAAATAACTATCTAGCAAAAAAAACAAACAAAAATATAACAAAATAAATGTATTTAACTAGAAAATAACAGGAACACAAAAATCACTTAAAACTGGTAGCTGAAACCACTCAATGGTCCATTGAAAGCCACCCTCGAAACCAAAGGGGCAGATGGTTGAGTATACTGAGCTTGAGAATATTGTGCTTGAGCTACAGGATACTGTGGTTGACCTCCTTGAGAATATTGTGGTTGAGATACAGGATACTGTGGCTGAGCTGCTTGAGAATACTGTGGTTGAGCTGCTTGAGAATACTGTGGTGGAACTGCTTGAGAATATTGTGGTTGAGTTAGTTGAGAATACTGTGGTTGAGCTACTTGAGAATATTGTGGTTGAGCTACAGGATACTGTGGTTGAACTGCTTGAGAATATTGTGGCTGAACTACAGGATACTGAGCTTGAGAATATTGTGGTTGAGCTTCTTGAGAAAACTGTGGCTGAGCAACAGGATACTGTGATTGTTGTTGAGGTTGAGAATATCTAGCCACAGTTTGCGGTTGACTCGAAGAAAACCCTTGCGGACTTTTCAATTGTGGATTGGCAGATTTGGGCTCTTCTGGTTGTGATGTTTTGATGGTTGGCTGTATCGGAGCTGCAGGAAGTTGGATGTCGCTTAAAGCACTTCCGTAAGTGACCAAAGGTGAACTGAACGACACGTGAGAAACATCGGTAGCTGCAGAGTAGCGGACCCCCAAAGGATTAACTTGTTGAGGCTGTTGTGCCAAAGAATTTGACACAAATGATACGAAGATAAACTGAAAATATCATCAAAAACTTAGATTCCTACAAACAAAAAATTTAACAAAATACTTACAGCACAAGTTAAATAATCCATTTCAAGGCACAAAGTCATACTGTAACTTCTGCCCCAATTGCAACTTTTATATATACGCATTTAATTAGACCTTGCCCAAACCCGAAAGAAATGTCTCACTTTCCATTTCAATTAAAATTACACGTTTGTGTCCTTATTGTTTGAGTACGAGAAGCACGTCCCGATACCAAAAATTGATGTTTATGTAATTCGATCGTGAGATAATTTATAAAATTTCGATTGAATAATAGGATTTTATGCATTACATTAATTTTGAGAATCTTTTAAAAAGTTTTAATGACAATAAATTTTTCTGGAGTTGGTATAATTTTCAACAAAAACTTCAGAAATTCAAAAACCGCTATACCCATAGCAGCTTTAGGAGAAATCAGCTCTGAAACTAGAAGCTTCAGAAGACTATTTTCACTCATTTATACCGTTGAGGAGCCAATTCAAAAAGGAGAAGGCAGCTGTTAAAAAAACAAATTGAATATCTAAGTACTCCTGAGAAACCATTCATTAATGCATCTTTTCAAGTTATTTCTTCAAAATTTAGCTTCTTTATGTGAAAGTTACCAAAAAGATAAAACCCGTGCAAAAACCCAAAACGGGTTTAATTAGGTTTTATTATCGGTCCGAATCAAGAAAACAAGACTTGGCAAAGTGACCTCGACCCGTTAACCCAGAAAATTGCCATTTCCTGAGATGATACTGCACTAACTGCATACTTCAGTAGTTTATTTACCTTCAAAGAAAAATGGTTTGAAGAAAATTGCTTGAAATGAAAGTGCACCATTTCGTGTTTTTGATATGGGTACCAGTTTTAGCTTTATCGGTACCGATAGTGGATTTTGATATATGGGGTGACCAACGTCAGGCTAGTTCGAGTTTAGTGGCTGATAAAGATTTGAGCAGATTGCCTAGAGGTAATTGTTTCTTAACTGAAGTGGTTTTATTATTATTAAGGTTTATTTTAGTCTTAAATTTCTTCCCGGTGCCTTTTGTGGAAGAGTGCAAGGCCAACGATGGCCGTAGAAGAGGTATTTGCATGAACACTTACGAATGTAGAATCCAAGGAGGAAAATCTTATGGTTTTTGTGCTTTAGGTTTTGGAGTTTGTTGTGTTTGTAAGTACTTATTAACACCTAAGTTGCTTATATAAAATAATACCAAAATAACATTTTAGTTACTTCAACTTGTGATAAACAAGTAATCAACAACATTACTTACTTTGTTAACCCGGACTTTCCAGATTTATCCAAAAACATGTCTTCGTGTCGAGTTAAAGTGCAAAAAATCGAACCAGAAGTCACACAAATTCGATTCGATTTTGTACATTTCAATTTGGTAATAGTTGTTCAAATAATATCTATGCAGTTACATGATAGTTTTCTATATATAGGGACAACCAAATAGAAGTACTGGTGTATGCGAAGAAGACATTTTTAGGATCAGTACTGAAAATGCTACAAGGGAATTGACGCTTTGTGGTTACAACAGTGGCCAGCATCTATATTTTGATGTGGAAAATGTCGATGGAATTCAAATAGATATGGTTTTAGCTAAAAAGGCAGTGCAAAGAATATGGGAAGTTGTTATAACACAAATACCGTTTGACCAGAGAACACCGCCAGGCTGTTTACAATATTTTACAGGTCAGATTGTTTTATGAATTGCTTCTGTTAAAGATTCATAAATCTGAATTTATTATTCTGAATCAGAAGATGAAGCTTTTTTTTCCAGTTTCAATTATTTCTTTAGTAGGTAGTTGATGGATCAGCTGCAACAACTTTTTCAAAACACCCATTTTCTGAGCAACTTTGGAAATCACGAATTTTTTTTAGAGCTTCTGTTTCTGAGCATTCTACTTTTACAGCAACTTATATGTCTTGCGCATGCTCTAGACATTCTAAATATTGTTTCAGAAAGACTCTTCAGTGATTATACAACAATTTAGACATCTTGTTTATATATAAACTCTGTAGAACAAGGCTCTGCATGTAGGTACTTATTCCTTTTGGCTCTGAAGTCAAAAACTCTTCCAGTTCTAGAGAGTTTTTCTAAAAAGCCTTGAAGTTTTGAATTTGCCCCACATCAATAGAAAAAAACTTCTTCTGAGCTTAAAATTAATCTAAGCTTATTCCAGGTAGTACCGGTGTGATCCAAACAATGAATTTTGCCGACAATGGTCGTCACTTAGCAAATCAAGACTACAGCATTTGCATCAGACAGGAATCGAACATGTGCAGCATTTCTTATGAGCAGTGCTCCGAGGATTCGTTTAGGATTGCACCCAATACTGAAAACGGTAACTTTCCTGTTGCACTCATTCATAATATAATGATTTTGATTGTTTATAACTAGATTTGGACACAAACTCCATTGAAGAAGGTTCCGGAGACTACGATAACGAGTTGCAAGAATCAGTACGAGCCGTGGATTTGTGCAACGACAAAATCGTTTTGCCTTGTGACTCAGAAGAACTACTCATGGTAATTTTTGTAATTGTGTACAATAAGGTCTAAGTTGTTGTGTATTTTAGCCAGGTATATTCGGAATGAACCCGGGCCACTGCAATTTGATCCATTGCGGTTCAACGTTGTGTCCGGCTGGACAATCGCCTTGCAAAATTGAAAGCAGCGCTACGCCTTTCAATATTGGGGTACATTTTGGTGAAACAATCTCAAACGAATTGTCGCCTGAAGACAATTTAGGAATGTGTTTGGTTTATGAACAAATACCTTGTGAATTTTGATGTCAATAGTGTGGGTTGTTACCAAGTGCTAGAGAGATTATGTTTTAGAATTAAATTGTTTATCAACTAGTCATTAGAAAGAGAGTCTTTTTGAGTGAACATTGTCGGTTGAATTGGATTCGATAATGTTTTTTCTTTGGGCCCTCTTTTCTTAACCTTGTCAGAGAAATGATGATTATATAGGTGTACTTTTGAAGCATTGTCACAGCCTGTTATTTGCTTTAACGTTTCACCTGTGTTTGAGGGTTCTTGGATGGAAGAATTGAAGAAGTTAGGTATTCAGCTTAGTGATTTTTACGATGCTATCCCTATAGAAATTTTGATTGGATTGGACTTTGCTGGCAAACTCTACACTGGACAAACACATATTTTGAAGTGTAGGTTGTTGGCCATGGACACATTGTTAGGATGGACACTTATGGACTGAATACCTATAGAAAAAACTAAAAATGAATCCATTACAGCTATTTCTTTTGTTTGTTAACAACGCATCACTTACTCAACTTTGGCAAACGAATTATCATCTTGCCAAGAAACGTCTATCCAGCACTTTAAACAAATTGGCAAATAATGACCTTGTAAATTCCTACAATCAAGTTTTCAATGAATAGGAAAATGAATACATTATAGAGGACATTTCCAATGATGCTGCTTATTATTTTCCACACAGAGCTGTAGTAAAAGAGGGTAGTACCACGCGCATTAATAAACGTAGAACCAAATGACCAACAGTTTCCATATTGTTAATTGTTAACATTTTCAGTACCATAATTTTATCTGAGACACACTTAAGTTCCTTATTTGCTTCAATACACAATGAAACATCACTGAAAGGGAATATTTATGTGTTTTTTTTTCTTTTTGTTTTTAACGAACTAAAGGGGGTGTGTTACGATAAATTTATCATTAACGTAACATGTTCCATCTCTTCTTATGAGAGACACACTTAAGTTCCTTATTTGCTTCAATACACAATGAAACATCACTGAAAGGGAATATTTATGTGTTTTTTTTTTCTTTTTTTTTTTTTTTTCAACGAACTAAAGGAGGTGTGTTACGATAAATTTATCATTCACGTAACATGTTCCATCTCTTCTTATGAGAGACACACTTAAGTTCCTTATTTGCTTCAATACACAACGAAACATCACTGAAAGGGAATATTTATGTGTTTTTTTTCTTTTTTTTTTCAACGAACTAAAGGGGGTGTGTTACGATAAATTTATCATTCACGTAACATGTTCCATCTCTTCTTATGAGAGACACACTTAAGTTCCTTATTTGCTTCAATACACAATGAAACATCACTGAAAGGGAATATTTATGTGTTTTTTTTCATTTTTTTTTTCAACGAACTAAAGGAGGTGTGTTACGATAAATTTATCATTCACGTAACATGTTCCATCTCTTCTTATAATAGACACACTTAAGTTCCTTATTTGCTTCAATACACAATGAAACATCACTGAAAGGGAATATTTATGTGTTTTTTTTCAAGGGAGGTTTTGCCTTGTTAGGACATTTTTCTATATATTAAAAATATGGCGCAGAAGTGAGTTCTGGGTCTGCTTCTTAGGTTTATCTTTCTTTCTGGATAAGAGAAAAATATCAGATACTTCCAGCATCGTCGAGCCCAGTGAATTCGATACTGATTCTGATTCGGATTTCCTGAAAAAGAAGGTAAAAAAGAAGAAGATGGGACGCACAGGTTGAAAAAGGCAGAAGAGTTAATTTACGAGAAACTTTGGGAAATCTTTCGTAAACTACAGTGGTAACGTAACTCCAGAAAAAAACCTTTTTTGACGGAGAAAACACTTGTTCCATCAAGTAATGCCGCTTGTTACTGAGTATTCAAAAGAGAAAATATCTTCGAGAATTTTTACAATTTGTGAAACTTTAATTTGCAGACATCTTACATCAATGAACAAGTAAAAGTTACTAATAAGGTTCGTTTCACACATTTTCAAGATCTAAACAAACGCAGCAAGACACGGATTTATATGTTTTGACTATACCGCCTGTAGATGGAAGAGGCAAACATCCCTCCAAAAGCAAAACTAAGCACGAGGATATTGACAAAGTAAAGGTAGTAAAGTATACGTCACAATACAGCAGGACTGGAAATCCAAACCAGGATTATCTCTCGTCAGATTTAAATATAAGCAAATTTTAAGATTTGTATTTCCAGTGTGAGGAGTTAGGACAGAAAGTTTCGCAATTCGTATTTTCAAAAATTTTCAATGAAGACTTTAATCTTCATTTCCGGTGTATCCTGCAACTGACACCTGCAAAAAATGTGACTCCATGAACGTGAAAATAAAAACTTTAACTGACGAACAAAAACGGAAAGTAGAAATTGAAAAAGAGCTGCATTTACGCATGGCAGGAGCTGGGTCGGAACGGAATGAGAGAAGATCCAAAAGAAGATCCCAATTCCACAACGACCTTATGAAAACAAAATGCCTACGCCTAATATTTCTACAGGAGTATAGCCTATTACAATAGGCAGTTGTGGACATTCTGGTGATACTGTCTAGGTATCTATAACCTAACTACAAGCCAGGCACACATATACGTTTGGCATGAGGGAATGGCTTCACGTGGTCCACAAGAAATAGGCTCATGTATCATGAATTATGTCAAAAATTATGTCCGAACACCCAATTTAATTATGTACAGCGACCAGTGTGGTGGCCAGAATGGAAACATCAAAATGGCTGCAATTTCTACATACATGACTTACTCGGATACTTCTAGTCCACAAGTTATCTTTCAGGCCATTCCTACTTGCCATGTGACCAAGATTTTAGCATGTAAAAAGCAAAAACGTTTCTTTAAAGACATTTTTTTGCTAGATGATTGGATTAAAGTAGATTTAAGTGCCAAAAAAAAACAATAAATTTGTGAAGTAGTCAAGATGAGAAATGAAGACTTGAAAGTACGGGAAACTTAGAAAAACTTTCTGACCAATCCAAAAAAACGAGAAGAAAATGTAAGTTTTCGAATGATAATGACACTCTTTTCTACAATGTGAACGTAACTAAAAAACGTACAGACCTTTTTCAGGATACCTTTCAGTTAGATGTTTTGTATCTCACAGGAAAACCCATCGGAAAATTGAAGTATAAAGACCTCCAAAGCCTTCTGTCTTACATACCTCCAATCGTCCATGAATTTTATAACAGTTTGTCAACTAACGAACATACTGTTGGTGAAGATATTATGACACTAAGATCTGGATGTTGCGGCTTAAGTTTAAGTGTCATAAATTGATTTTTTTCTCCAAACGATGGTGAAGGGCGGAGTGGCCCAAGTGTTTTTTTTTTTAATTTTTTCGTTTTGTATTTTCTTCCCAGTATGATTTTATGTGCAATATAATAATCACCAAAGCTGTAAACTTTAGAATAAATAAATAACTTACAATGAAAAAATTAGTTCCATTTTTTATTAAATGTGAATTATTTCAAAGCTCTACTTTCACACTTGAGCAACTCTGCGCTGAGCGACTCATTTAGACGTAACAGAGAATCCAAGTGCGTTTGGTGAAATTGACTACTGACAGAGGTCAACTTTTACGGCCTATCCAGAGACTGTATGATTTGGAATGTGTACCCCATGAAGCATGAAGTCCCTAAAAAACATTACCTACTCTGATTTTAGTGTGGCTAATGATTTGAAGTCAGAATGTCACGATGTTGAAGACTGTCGTCCTGAAATCTCAGCGACTTGTAAAAATAGTTCGGTTAGTGCGGAATTGATAAAAAATGCATTCGTTTCCTCAGTGAAGGAAGATACCGTTCACGTTAATCGCTGTCCAAGTATTCAGATAAAGTTCACATTGTAAATTAATTTATACTTTTTCGCCCAAAAGTTGCATTAAATAATAAAGTTAGTGGAGGATTTGTTTCTTTAAAAACCTCGAACCGTCGAAAGCCCATTAAGACAGGTAGTTTTTCTGGGGCATGGCAGGTACCTCCTTTTTTAAAAAAATAAAATAATAAAGACATATACATTATTTTCACTTAAAACTTACAAAATTACAAACTTACAAAAACAATTTAAACTAAACTATTTCTAGTCCATATTTGTGCAAACAAATAACATAGTATGCCACAAAGACAAAACGTCGTGCGTGGCCCAGTATAGCAATTATCAGTACCTAAGATGGCGATGCGGCACGAATGTAAACAAACCATGGAGGTTAAACATATTGTCTCCGTATAAATGTGTATTATTTCTACCTGTTTCAGAGTTTAATTTGATAAATTTTAATTTATTTCACATTCTTTTTATGGTTCGTAGTTAAAACCGAGTTACTTGGAATATTCATCTATCAATAAAATACCTGGGCATCAGGTACAAAACGGAAGTCAAGTAGGTAAATATAGGTGCAGCATAAACTGTAATTGCAAAAACTCACTTATACACTGTAGTTGACTTTAAATTGATAAATGGTAGCTTTGAACATACCAATCTCAGCATTTAGGTATAACAAAAAGTGTGTCAGAGGCAAATGAATGTCAAAAACATAAATAATATGAACCACAACGCCGAAAATAAAAATTTCCATCAAAAAACGTCCTCAAACTGATAAAAACCTTTTAGAAATTCACAGAAAATACAATTTCTTATGTTGTTATGCCGCGACGCCATCTTGTACGTCAAACATCAAATCACCCTATAAGTATAGGCTAATAATCTAATTTATCCTTACAAAGAAAAACTAATCTACATTACTTAATAAACAACTAGGATTAATTATTTTAATTTATTTTATTTTATATATTGTATTGTAGTATAACATACTCGGGTTCGTTTAGTAATATTGAACGATGAGAATTTTTATTACCTCTTAAACAAAAAATCTTCTGGAAAATAAAATGAGAAACAAATAGGAACTACGTTGTGGAAACTTTCTCAATTTTACTTACTGGACGTAAGTAATGTAAAAGAAACGAAAAATTTGTGAAACGTCTACTTTATTATTACTAACGAGGGGAAAGAGTACGGCAGAGAAACCCTCGATCTAACATTCCTCAAAAATCGAAACATACTGTGTCATTTTAATAATAATTGTGAGTCATTAATTCAATAAAAGTTGAAACTAGGTACCGCCCCTATTCTTGTGCTAAAATTTCAAATACACACACTACATTCAATCAACACTACCTATATTTAATACTGAAGAGTTTTTTTGTTAGTTAGCCATTTTCCCAGCAGGTACTGAGGTCCCATACGGGAACCTACTCAGCTAGAGTGGTTTTTGAGCCAATATCTCTAGATTGATTATTTCGATTTGCTAGGATATTCTCTCGTCAGGGTAGGAAAATGTTAGTAAATTCAACAAGGCCCAGGGTCATTTTTTATGTTTTCCCACCCCCCTTAACTTTTCTGTGTCACTGTGTATAAAAAAAATGTAAATAGGAAAGGTGTAGTGCTTGAAAAATAGTTCTCAAAAAAATAGTTTTGTTCACACAGGGTGTTGAAAAAAGTTTAAAAAACAAAAATATAGGTATATAAATGGGACACCCTGTATATTATGACTTTTCTGGATTCTGCGGAAAATTCTAGACACATTTCATGTTTAAAGATAATAATAATACTCTTTATTGAGAAATGATACAAAATTTACATTAAAATTGCCCCAATTTAACCAACCTTGTATCTCTTATTATTACTGAGATTCCTATACTACCCCATCCCCATACTACATAATTACACACTAATTTGTAACACTCTGTATAGTAAATATTCAAATATCATTGAGGATATTGTATGTGAGGTGAGGATTTTAAAAATCCCTGATGCAGGTTAGGTTTTCCACTAACCCATTGTTCCAACAATATTTTGGTTTTTTTGTTGAAGTATAGTTCGTTTTTATAGTCGGTACTTCTGATCAGGTGCGTGATCCAGGGCCGGATTTTACACTCGTGCAACTCGTGCGTCGCACGAGGGCGGCAGCCCGAGAGAGCTGCATATTATATCTATGTAGGTATATTTATATATTTTTATACAGAATTTTAAAAAAATAGAGACAAATACCTTTAAACTATATTGCACGAACAGGCGGCCAGTTGTTGGGGAGCGTTACCTGCCAAAGTGGTACGAGCACCCTTGAAAAGTAGTACGAGTGCCCTTGACCAATCACCTGCTAGCGATAAACAACAAACGGACAACCCACGGAAAGGGCTCCGTCAAGTTAGCCTCCCACATTCGATATTTTGAACTGTGCCATTCCGATAGCAAAGTTATAGGAAAAACAAGACGAAGGACTAACTTGACGCTCAGCCTCCCCAAAATTTTGGAAATCGGATCAAACAAAAATGGATTCTTATGCAATCGGAAGTGTGCTAAACTGTGCTGTATCAGGTTTTTCTAAAAATTTCCATATTCGGTCAATTTCCGACAAATTCGTACTGGAGGGGCTAACTTGACGCTTAACTCCACTAAAATTTTGGAAATCAGATCATACAAAAATAGATTCTTATGCAATTTGAACTGTGCTGTATCAGGTTTTTCTGAAAACTTTCTTATTCGGTCATTTTCCGACAAAATCCTACTGGGGGGGGGGGGGGCTAACTTGACGCTCAGCCCCCCCCCAAAATTTTGGAAATTAGATCAAACAAAAATTGATTTCTATTCAATCTGAAGTGAAGTGTGCTACTGTATCGGGTTTCTCTCAAAATTTCCACACTCGGTCATTTTCCGACAAAATCTTACTGGGGGCTAACTATTGACGCTCAGCCTCCCCAAAATTTTGGAAATCAGATCAAACAAAAATGGATTCTTATGCAATCGGAAGTGTGCTGGACTGTGTGGTTTTTCTCAAAATTTTCATGTTTGGTCAATTTCCGACACCGACAAAATCCTACTGGGGGCTATGACGCTCAGCCCCCCAAAATTTTGAAAATCGAATCAAACAAAAATGGATTCCTATTGAATCTAAAGTTTAGACTAGACTGAATCTTATTTTTTTTGTAGGGTACACTTTAATAGCGAAATTCGTTCGCAAAAATAGTGCGGCACTGGTGTGGCACACTCCAAGCGATTAAATATTTGCACTGGTGCACATTGAATAAGAATCCATTTTAGTTTGATATGATTCCAAATATTTTGAGGGGCTTAGCGCCAAAGCTACCCTTCCTTGTCCCCACCCCAGTAGGACTTTATCAGAAAATGACCAAATATAGAAATTTTGAAAAAAAACCTGACACAACAGAGTCCAGCACACTTCAGATTGCATAAGAATCTGTTTTTGTTCCATCTGATATCCAAAATTTTGGGAGGCTGAGCATCAAGTTAACCCCCTATAGTAGGATTTGTCGGAAAATGAGCGAATATGGAAATTTTGAGAAAAACCTGATACAACACAGTTCAGCACACTTCAGATTGTATATAGGAATTCATTTTTGTTTGATCTGATTACCAAAATTTTGGGGGAGGCTGAGCGTCAAGTTAGCCTCCCAGTAGGATTTTGTCCGAAAATGATCGAATATGAAAATTTTCAGAAAAACCTGATACAACATAGTTCGGCACACTTCAGATTGCATAGGAATCTATTTTTGTTTGATCTGATTTCCAAAATTTTGGGGGGTTTATCTTGTTTTTCCTATAACTTAGTTATCGAAACGGCACAGTTCAAAATATCATCGGCACAGTAAAGCATATTTGAGCACAATAGGTACCGTGGCACAATTTTGTTAGAAAATTCGAATGTGGGGGGGGCTAACTTGACAGAGCCCACGGATGGAATATTAAGAAAAATTCCTTTCCCTCGAAGCAAAAAGTTCCTCATGGGGGGCGGCAAAACAAGCTCTTGCACGAGGGCGGCCAAAGAGCTAGAACCGGCCCTGGCGTGATCCTGAGTATCTGAGTATCTAAAATATTTGTGTTCAAAATTGGCATTTTCGTGGATAATAGAATAACTGTACTGCTTAATATAATTCCCTTTGATATTATTATAAATTCTAGTAATTATAGTGCTTAAATAATTCATTTGTTTTATTTTTTTGACCCTACGCGTGTGATGACATAAGTTTTTTTGACGAGTGTAATGCCGGGTTAAGTATGCTAAAGGAGAAAAATAAACTGCAACAGAAATTTTGTTAAAAATATTTTATTGAACATTTTCCTGTTAACAATACAAAGAGGTTTAAATGCAAAGGTTATTGTTTAGCAAAAAAATTACACCATACGATTATTCAAAAAACAATAAGAAATACTCATTTTTGTTGTCCTTTCTAGATAAATTTGTTTCAACAATCAAAAACTTCCCTACAAAGAATTATTAACAAAAAATTATGCTCAACAACGATCGAAATAAGGAGTACAAATAAATAAACTAAATTAAACAAAACTTAAAAGTTAAGAGTGAGGGGAGGAAAAACAATAAAAAGAGGATATTTTGAACTATTACTATAGGAATACATTTCTTTTGAGCTTCAATCATAATAATTTTAGGTCTGTTCCAATAATAATTGTCAAAAACAAGTTTTTTTTTTTTTATAGAAACAACAGACCTATTATAGTCGAGAGTCAATTTCATAATATGTATTATGTAATTGACCCTTTTTCAACAAATAAAATTATTCTAAGATTAAACTTAAAAGGAAATGGCAATATATATAGTAGAGCCAAAAACTTATTAAAATTTCAAATAACGAATATTAATAATAATTAAATTTCACTAAAACTATATATAGGTAGTATACATTTTAGTTTAGGGGGGGAGACATAGAGAGAAGTACCTATATACCTCTCAAATAAATAAATTGATTAAAAAAAAAAAGAAACGTTACAAATGTAAAAATACTGTAATGTGTGAATCTACTTGTATAAGCAAATTGGTACCAAAGAATCTAAAGGACTTTTCAAAATTTTTCACTTTTTTTTTGGCAGCTAGAGGTAGTTTTGTCTTTTCATATTAATCTTGCTTTTATATATAGGAACTTTGAATTTCAAACAATCATGTGTTAAAATTTAGTCCAAATAAATCCTCCGGTACCATCATACGGAAAACACGCTTTAATTAAATTTGGCCTAAAATATCATTATAAAAGAAAAACGGCACTAATGCCCAACTAAAAAAAAAACCTTATTCGCTAAAAGTTTAATATTTAATTTAATTTTTTGGGGCGAACGAATGCGGCCATGTGGATCAACATAGGTAATACAGGTCAAGTGAATATTTTCCCTATTCCATCTCCAACATTTCCAGTAGCGCTTTATGCTGGACTCTACTGGAAATGCAACAGGAAAAATCGTTTTCGTTTTCTATTTAACCTTATCATGACCTCTGTATATTATAATATATGCCAACTTCCATCAGGCCTCAATAAGCTCAACCTCGTATAATAATATATTTGCCTATAATCGAGTGTTTGTTTTACAAATGGGCTTACATATTGTTTTTGTTTTTTTTTTTCAAATTTTTTTCAATTGATATGCTTTGACATAATATATTATATGTATATAGGAAAAAACAAAAACACAAGCTGTGGGGGGCAAAAGTATTGTTTGTACAAATAATTTATCAGTCTATTTAGAGATAAAACAAAAAAATTTGAATAGAAAAATTCTGTTTAGATGTAAGCGTAATAATAAAGCATCTTATACATTGTCCTAGGTATATTTAAATCTAATGTCGTTTAGGAAAAATTGCCCTAAAATAAAAATAAAAAATTGCCTAAAACGCAGTGTTAATTCTTCACTGCACTTGTAGCGGCCGCATTAGGGCCTTTACTCAACTCCTCGCTTCTCACAAAATCAATGTCGGCATACACAAAAGTGCCAGTGACTTGATTTTCAACCATGTCACTAGGGTCAGTCCTCAGTGCCTTACCATCTGATGTAGACTCGCCCAGATCCAAACTGGCATAGTGTAAACGTGGTGTTTGCGGTTCAGATTCGTTAGTAGTAGAAACACCAACAACTGTAGATGTAGAGGAACTTGACGAGTATACACTTGAGTTGGAACCTGGAATAGAATTTTAGTATTGAAAATTTTTTCAAAGAAAAAGCGTTTAAATTAATGCTATAATGTAGGATTTCCAGACAGCAGACAATGTCTTAAAGAGGTCTTTTTAATTCTATTAATATTTTTTATACATAGGGTGAATTAAGTATAATTATACCATTGTGTGGTATTTTTGATATCTTCAGTAGGGTGCTGTGACGAAATTCAAGACTTTCAGTACTATAGATTTACAAAGTGCGTATTATTACATAATACGTATTCCCATACGTGACGACAAAAAGCAGTATACTGCTTTTGAAGCAGATGGTAAATTATATCAGTTCCGAAGAATACCTTTTGGTGTGACAAACGGAGTTGCGTGTTTTCAGAGGATAATAGACTACATAATAAAATCAGAGAATCTTGAAGGTGTCTATACATATTTAGATGATATTACAATATGCGGTAAAAATCAAGCAGACCATGATAAAAATTTACTTGTTGTAAAATACAATTTTACCATAGACGAAAAGTTCTCACTCCCTAAAATCAATCAAACTTCTTGGATATATGATAGAGAATAATGCGTTGAAACTTAATCCAGTTAGACTTGAACCTCTACGAAAAGTGCCTGTACCTGAAGACTCTTAGTCTCTTGGGTTGTTCACCCATTACTCAAAGAGGATACCTTGCTTTTTAGAGAAAATTCATGGACTTTTTTCTTGTGAATCTTTTTCGTTGTCAGAAATCTGTGTAAACGATTTCGAGAAGCTTAAATTAGATATTGCAAAGTCAGCTGTTACTTCATTCAATGATAAAATTCCATTTGTGGTTAAGACTGATGCTTCAGAACATTCCATTGCAGCCATTTTGAGTCAAGCAAGAAGGCCAGTTGTATTTTGCGGGAGAAAAATAAGTAAGAGTGAACAAAATCATTCATCAGTTGAAAAAAAGAAGCTTATTCTATAGTCGAAGTGATTGAAAAATGGAGACATTTTCTGATTGGTCGTCATTCTCAGTTGATTATACTGATCAAAAATCTGTATCTTTTATGTTTGATACCAAACACAGTCTCGTCTCGATCTCGTCTCGATATCGAGACGAGACGAGACGAGAAATCTCGAATTTCGAGAATCTCGTGAAACCCTAGATATATAGTATATAGATCAGGGCGAGAAAACGTAGTAGCTGATACATTTTTTCGAATATGTGGTTCAAATAGTTAGAAAACTTTATTTGATTTACATCAAGCTTAGTGTCATCCCGGAATTACTGGGGGGCAATGGGAACAATGGGAGCAATGGGGGCACTCAATATGCTCACTCTGTATACATAGGCGCCGGAACCATGGGGGCAATGGAGGCAATGGGGGCTTGAGCCCCCCTAGTTAATTTATTATGGGGGCGGAGCCCCCATAGTTATTTTGGTATTGTATGTAGTGGGTAGGTTCAAAAATATTAAGTTCCTAACTATACCTACTTCAACAAACAGTTTGAATATTTTGTTGTGTATAGTATTTAAACCTGTATTTTCAATAAATTGTTGGATTATTTCGCCCCTACCAATGGCTTGCCCCCACTATTGGGTTTCAATAATCGTAAAAAGACCTAAAAATTTCGCGTGCAAGTATCACTTCCTGCGAGTTTGACCCCCTTTACACAAAATCCTGGCTACGCCAATGGTGTTGCCGAAGCCGAGTATTGCCGAAGATGCACGAATTTAAATGATATGTAAGGAATAATAATGATCCAGTGTGGCGATCTTGCAGAGAAATCTGCGTCTCTCAACTGGTCCTGTTTAAGCCTATGTGTCTAGTAGCCTGGTTCTGTCTGTATTGTTTAATTAATCTTACTTATGTTAGTTTCTGGAGCCCGAACCCGCATAGTAATTTTGAAATTCCGGCGCCTATGTCTATATAAGATATTTGTATTATGTTAGCATCTTGCCCAGTCTGTGCAGAACTCAAACCTAAATTTATTAAAAATCAAGGGACACTCATTAAAGTCGGCTTGCGAGAGAATACCTCTGGACTTCAAAGGCCTTTTTCCATCTGATTCACGAAGAGTATTCTCGCTTTCCATTTATCTATACATAACTTCTGAGACCGTGATTCGGCGTTTAAGTAACTTATTTCACATTTTTGGAATGCTGGATATATTCACACAGATCAAGAATCTTCATTTATGTCAAATGATTTCAATCATACGCCCTATAGGCCATTCAAATTTCTTTTGATTGTAATCTGAGATCAAGACAATATTTCCAACTCTTACTGTCTCTAGAATTTTTTTTGGAAAAAGGACCTAAATATTATCTTATTCAGGTCTTCTCTTAGTTTCAGTCGGTATTTGAAACGTCTACCTAGATCAATGGCTTCAACTGAATCAAGATCCAGAATTCCTACTTCTTTAACATCTTGTAGGAACATTGACGGTGTTAGAGCAACATAGTCATGAAAATTTTCAGATTAAGTCAGTGGTTATGCATTTAAAACCGCCTCACAATCGCAAAGTATGGTCTGTACTCCCACATCAAGGTTTGTTGTAACAAATCTTTCAACATTCTTATGAGTCACTCCCACCAACCATCCCATCAGGCAGCTGTTGCAAGATTCATTATTTATTCAATTTTCTGTAGAGTGTTACAGTTTTCAACAGCTTCTGACCAATCTATGTCTTCTAAAGCATTGACACATCCAAGGAAATTCTTATCACAGTCGGAATAGATTGACCTTTACGAGAAATGAATCTTCTTAACGTCTGTAAAAATGCATTACTGGTCTCGAATACTGCAGCATTCCATACTCTATTCTTCGATAAACATATATGGCAGGAATATCTAACAAATTATCTCTAAAACGTTTACATTCAACAGTGGGTCTGCATTGAAGAATCCAATAGTTTTTCCGTGAAATGCTGAAAAAATTACGAAAAATCAACCAAAGTTTCTCGTTTTCATCGTCATTTGAATCATTATTAACAATACTACCATTTGGTTACTGATAAAGATGATAATATGGTGCTGGAATCAAGTGCCACCTATTTCTTCGATATTTACCATAATTGGTTTCTATTAGATAAGAACGTGGTTCATCTAAAACAGCTACAACTATGCCATATTCTTTCAGATCAGTTAATCAGACACTGTCTGCTTAACTTTCGGTTGATAAGTAGTTCAGATGGACTCAGTCCGCATGCAAAAAGTGTTGTGTGATAAGCTAGCACAGCTAAATCCAAGTCTTTGGAGTTTTTCTTTATTAAACTTTCAACTACGTTTACAGCTGACTATTTCTTCGTTAGAATAAATAATTTTGTCGTATGCAGCTTTTGTTCGTGGAGGCACATACAACTTAAGGTCGTCAATGTATAATAAATGCGATATGTTGTGATTCTTGATGCGGTAATCTATCTGAGTTTTGTTTAAAAGATTGGAGAGGGGGTTGAGGGCCAAATAAAACCATAGAGGACTTAAGGAATACCCCTGGAATATACCACGTCTCACTCGAATTTCGTCAGTAGTGACTAAATGGATTTTGGTGCGCCATTCATTCATTAGTCGCTGCAGAAGTGTTACCTACCAGGGTTGGATGGATTTTGTATAACTTTAGAATCTGAATCAGGGACCGAATGAAAAGCCTTCTGGTAATCAATGTAACAACAAGATAATTTTCTATTTTTTTTTTAAGTATCAACGGAATCAATTATAAGTTGTTCCTTACAACCTTTCATTCCTTTCCTATACTCTTTTTGTTCCTTTGTTAGAATTTTATACATATCCATCTACATGCTCTATGAGTATTTTCGTGATACATGATTTAAGAAGTTTATATATTGTTTGAAAGGCAGGCGATTGGCCGGTACTTTGCTAGGTTATTGGACAACGGTTCCTTAGGGAGAAGGTAAGTATTACCCTCAGTAAGAAACCTCGGGATATTCTCTGAATGATTTAGAAATTTGGTAAAATGTTTGGCTATATATGAGGGTGGAGACAGCTCAATTTCTTATACCAATAATTATGGAAGTTATCACTGCCAGCACCTCTCCAGCTGTGTGAGTTTTTGTGACGGTCTGAATAAATTCAAAATAATTTCTGGATATGGTATTTGGTCGATTATACAACTCACTGTACATTATTCCCATATGACAGGAGAGGCTTAATAAGTGATAAGCCTTTTGGGATTATCGCACTTGGTGGCAATATTGTTCATTTGCCAATAAAAATCAATAAAGTATTGAAGTTTGGTTCGTTGTATAACCTTTTGAATACCACTCGATGTTTCAGGATTCCCTAATACTTTTACCTGACACTCCACGCGTTTCCAGCAACACCACTCCTCCTTCGGAGTCGTGGTGTTGCTGCGTAACGCGTTTCGTGACAGGTAAAAGTATTATCCGGTAATCCTGAAACCTCTTGTGGTATTACATTCGATTATCTGTGAACCGGACTGCCTCCTCTCCTAATCTGTTGTTGCTGTCTTCTACACCTTTGTAAAATTTCTGTTCACCTTTCCCAAAAATCCAGTTCTGATCTTTACGTCTAATGCTAGTTTTACACTGACAATTTAAATTGATAAATTTGTTTGCCAATTTATTTGCCAATTTATGTTGGCTTAACCAATGGCTTGACGTTTTACACCAGATCAACTTGTTGACAACATAAATTACAATAAACAATTCTACCAACTTAATTTTTTATTTATGATTCACTCAGAAATATATTTAAGGATGTTTAATAATAAAACTAGAAGAAACTGAAGATAAAAGAATCAACTGAACATCAACAAGCAAATGATAAATAAAAATAATTATCTTCACCTCGCTTCAATATTTTTAAAGTGTCATTTCTAGGTTGAAAGCCTGAATTGACACAAAAATTGACGGAAAAATAGAACATGCGCTAATCCGTCAATAAATTGAGCAAGAACTTGGACAAGTTAAATTGTCGCCAAGTTGGCCATTTACATTATCGATATTTCTTGACAAGCGACTTGATCAATAAATTGTCAGTGTAAAACCGTCTTTTACCTTTCATGTTTCTTTCGTTCTGTGTATCTGTCAAGCCGGGCTCTATGAACTTTCAGGTTTTGTTTCAGCGTGTCTATACATTTCATGCGGATTTTGCACACATCAGCCAGCTGGCAAGATGCAAAGCACTCTATGTAATTTTTAAAGAAGTGTTTAGAATTACTGACTTTTGTATCTCAGCCACCAAGTGTTTTGTTAGTCCGAGAGTAGTGAGATTTTTGACTAACGAGTCAGGTACAATCCCAGTGGTGGATATGAGTATTGGTACAACCGTCACTTTGTTCAACTGCCATTGCTTTTCAATTTCGTCGGACATTTCCGTGTATTTCAATACTTTAGACTGCATGGTTTCTTGCATGTTGTTATTATTAGGAACGATATGTCTATCTGTCAGAATTGATCTGTCCTAGTATAGATGTACATACGTTATTATTCTCAATAATTAATTATTAATTGTCTCTGGCATATACTGGTAGTAAAGCTCATTTTCTCCTGAAAGATTATGATCTTTGACTAAATTAAGATGGATTATCTTTGCAATACAGTTATGCCGATGCAGGTAGGTACTTATTTGACGTTAGAATTGTGCAGCACGTTTACATTTTCTGTACTTATCGTCTCGGAATTCTGGATCCCTCATCACCTGCATCTTATAGTTGGCAGTTGGAATAACCATATCTTGAATGGCGATAAAGAAAACTTCAGTTTCAGGAAATAACTCTCCTCTGGAGAGCCACAGTCTAGATGATTTGTGATCCACATTCTCGGCAGAAAGTTCGTGGAGGTTATTTTGCGTGAATGGCCTTCTGCTTTCATGCGCCCAACCGTAAATGAACTTGTACTGTTTAGATGGCAATGTTAATATCTCATTGGCAGACTGTAGATTCAGTGAAGTATAGCCTCTATCAGCCCGGATAACGGCGTATAGTAGCGGGTTCGAATCTCTTTTGGAGTAGAAGTATTTTCAGAAGTAAATTCAGTTCATCTAGATGGGTTACATTTATGCCCAAATTCACCTGCGTAGCCGTAGTTGCAGTTCATGTCCGTCTGAAAACGACATCGCAAATCAAACTTCTTGAATTTCAAACCTTTCGTTACAACATCTCTGAGAAATCTTGTTCAATCTTGAAGCCACCATGTTGTATAATGTCATTGCGTAGCTCTCTTCAAGTAAATTTCATAAAACTCTTGAAACTTTATGGTGATAAGTGGCAATAATTACCTACTAATAGAAAAGACACACTTCAAAGCTCATAACATTTTCTGTCATCCACGAAGCTCCCTCACCTGGTAGGTAATAATATAAAAGTTAAATAACAGAACAAATCCCTGTACACCAACATGGTTGTTTTTACTGTGTTCTTAGAAAATAAGACATTTAACAACTTCATGATTTGAGGGTAAAACATATGGAATACAAAAGTTTTCTGTATCAATTTGTGTCTGATATCATTAGAACGTACCCTGATTAACCTCTCTTCATCGATAAACGGACATAAAAGTGACAGTTTGGAGTCATTTCCAGACTGAAAAATTTCTTTTTGTATAAAGCGCATAACTACTTGTCATATAACTTCTAATTCCTTTGGGGTCAAAAACTTCTTGTTTTCGGTATTCTTTTTTCTGCAGTTATTGACAAATCGTAGCATCCATGCAATAGAGTAAACGTAGAGATTTTGATAATATTTTTGATAATAATTTAGATACAGATACTTCTAAAAATAAAAGTGAAGTTGAAGAGAGGAATGAGTTTCCAAACATCCAAGTTTGATGATTATCAACTATACATGGCTTTTAATGCTTAGAACTTTGTTGAAAATGTACCAAATAGTTTTTCTGATTTTTAGAATAGTCCAGATAGGGGAAATTGATTGATTTACACAACGAGTTTTTGACCGACTTGTAGCTTTCAAGTTTCACCTCAATCGATCCAAAAGTATTTGGGACAAGGAATCCAACCAGATCCTTCTAAAATCACCGCTATTCTGGAGAGACCACCTTCCAAAAATGTGAAAGAGCTTTTGTCCTTTGTTCAAACATGCTCTTGGTTCCGGCAATTCATTTTTTTATCTGCAGAAGTTTCAAAGCCCTTAACCTCCTCAACCAAGAATAAAGTTATTTGGAAATGGGAGAAAAAGATTCGATAGAAAAGAATGAAACTTGGATGACAGTTAAGAAATCAGAAAATGTGTGTATACTTGATACTATAGATGGGTTTTCACTTATTAAAGTTTGGAGAAAAATGATAGTGACAAATTTGAACTTTGTAAGGAAATACAGCTGGAACAACTGCAAATTGGAATGAAAAATGCAAGAGAAACAAAAACTGGAAGTGTAATTGTTAAATGTCAAACTAAATTGGAACTAGACAAACTGAAGGCGGAAGCCGAAAAAACTTTGGGGAATAACTATGAAACTCATGAGACAAACCCAAAAAACCTAGAGTGAAGGTTGTTGGTCAAACCATTCTATTGCGGGTGAGGATGAGATAAGAGTAACTTACATAAAGTAATGTAAAAATAGTAAATTCAAACCCATATATATGGAATGTTCACCAAATCTGTTCCATAAAATGATTAGCAATAAAAGAGTTTATCTAGAATGAGAAAAATACATTTTTTACAAGAATATGAGCATACCAAGATGCTTCAAGTGTCAAGGCTATTATCACAAGAACAATGAATGCTACAATGAAACTATCTGTGAATACATGATATAAGAGAATACTCAAAAATCTCTAAAAAGTGTGGAAACTGCAAATAAAAAGTTAAAAACAGGATACAACACTGAACATGAAGCAACTTGTATGGAATGTCCCTCTTACAAATACCTGATGTACTTAAAAGTAAAACCCGATTATGGACAACAATAATATATAAGTGTCTGTTCATTTTACACATGAATATAAGAAGTTTTAAGAAGAATTTTGACGGTCTCCTCGTAACGTTGAATACTTTTGAGTTAACATACTGTGACACAGTGGGCGCCCATAGGGGGGGGGGGGCAAATGGGGCACTTGCCCCCCCTTAGGCCTGGAGATTATTATTGTTTCATGATGCTAACATTGCTACCAGAAGAATAAAAAAACAGAATAGCAAAAGTGATACTAAAAGTTGCTTATACAATAAATAATAATTGTCAAATTGACATTCTATCTGTGCAATGTGTGTTTATTTTTTAAAATGACGTCATTACAAATGAGTACAGTTTAGACTGCTTATGTTCATTCAATATTATACGTATGGTTACCTATTGGCCGTCGATTTTTATCTGACACTTTTCGTATGAGGAGCGAGGGGGTGAAGTACATGGCAAAAACCACATAAAAACAGGTGTGACGTCAAGTAACCATTGACGTTTTAACATAGGGAGCCACCACTTCACATTTTTTTGGAGAACCTACCTATCAGATTAAAATCGACGGACTTTACATAAATGGTTTTATTTACGACGACTGACATTTAATGTATAGGTAAGTATTATATTTATGATATTGGCAGTATATTGCCATATATTATTCCCGCCAGGGGTTAATGGTCAACATTGTCGTGAATAAAGTAGAGTATACTACCCGCAATAATGGCTATTATTCCCTCGGAATGTTACTCTTTCGCCGCTAACGCGGCACAGTTCGTAAATATTCCTCGGGAATAATAGCTATAATTATTGACTCGTGGTATAATCTACTTTTATTTAAAAACTAAAAATAAGTCAATTTTTTGCCCCCCCCCCCCCTGAAAAATGTTCTACGGACGCCCTTGCTGTGACATTATTGTTCCCAGCGAGTACTACCAACTTGTGGATTCACAGTACATGCAATCATTTTTCTCCAAACTTTTACAAGTAGAACCCCATCTATAGTATCAAGTATTCATACATTTTCTGGTTTCTCAACTGTCATATAATTAATTTGATTTTCAAAACTGGAGTGATCCCTGAACAATTTAAAACAAGGGAATTGTTAGTTCCATCTATAAGACAGGCGATAAACATGATATCAATTCTATTAGTGTCATTAATAATTTCGGAAAAATCTTTGAAAAATGTCTGAGAGATCGACTCTTACAATTTCTAAATAGTAATAATAACCTATGTGAAACCCAGTTTGGTTTTGTCAATGGACTGAGTACCTGCGATGCTATGTGTGAGCTAGTTGGCCAGATAACCACGGCCCTTGAAAAAAGATATAGCGGTTTACCTTGATTTGGCAAAGATCTTTGACAAAATTTTAAGTGTTTATGAACAGTACGGTGTCAGAGGAGTCGTGTTTGATGTCTTTAGATCATATCTGATGGATAGGAAACAAATACTTAAAATCAGAAGCTCATACAGTGACCCTCTGAGTGTTATCATGGAAGTTCCACACGGAATAGTTCTAGGTCCAATTTCATTTATAACCTATATTAATTCTAATGGTAATCTTCACATTAATAGAAAGCCTATCCCATACGCAGATGACATGGTGTGATATGTTATTTCTAATGCATTCCATTATCACCTGTATCTAATAAATAACTTCTAGTAATACCCTCTAAGGCTTTTAAGAGCTAATTTAGATTGCTATAAAACCATCAAATAAGCATCCAAAACAGTTCAAATCTAAGTCAGAATTTTCAAAAGCATTTTAGAACAATTAGGATCCACATTAGAACTGGAACCCTTTTCGAACTCATCTGTCAAAACAACTCGGAAATTACTAAAAAACTTCTAGAATGCTCCAGAACTCTTCAAGCCAAGTTAGAACACTTCAGAACTTCAATATGCCATTAAGCAAGTTCCAAAACACTTTCCATCAGCATTTTGAAAGACTTCAGAACAATTTAAAAACTTCAGAATTTTATCAAACAGCCTAGCGCCTGGAATAAACAAAAATTGAAAGTTATAAAATGAGTAATAATAATGGAATTATCAGTCCTGGAAGTTTGTGCTGTCTGGGTTGTTATTATCAATATTCAAAGTTCTTACCTAGTCTGGAAGCTAAGCCTTCCGAACACACCGACGAAGGCCGCGAAGCAATTTTCTCAGATCCGGTTGTAGACGCGGGCCTCTGGACCGCGCCAGTCTTAATTTGATCCGAATTCGACGAATTCGGCCTGGAAATTTTGGCTGCAGGCGATTTCAACCTCTCGTAGGCCCTGGATTCGTCTTCGAATTCCATATTAGCCGTTTCCAGAGACTTATCATCTAAAACAAATATCAATTAATATTTCACTATAAACTCCTTCTGACAATCTGTACCTGTTTTTTCTGGAACATCTCCTGGTTTAGGACTAGTCATCCTTTCGTCTTTTTCTCTTATAGGCATAAAGCATTGTCTGTCGCTTAAACCAACATTAGCCAAAGGCGAAGCTAATCCAGGTGAAACCATGCCAGTTTTAACACGTGGCAACGTTGTACTTTTAAAAACTCCAGGTTTCATTACAGCATAATCGCCTTCACTTTGACTGTTTCTCATCATGCTCTGAGACGGTCCTGGACAGTAGTTTACATAAGCAGAATCGTCCACTGGTTTACTGTCAAAGTCCATCATCATATAATCTTCGCTTGGCTTCTTTTTATTTGATTTGTAGGGAACATTCAGGACCGAGGCTGGAACTTTCATTGAGCTCGGTTTGCTGGAGGCACTCAAAGGTGATGTTGGGCTGTTGAGGCTCATCGGGAACATTGTCGAAGAGCTGGATGGGGTTGTAGTGACGCTTGAGCTCAAAGAACTATCTTTTGAGCTACCTGCTTGCGATTGCAAGGATTTTCTGGAAGAGGTTTTTTGTCTAGGTAGACTAGAGTAGGAGCTCAAAGGCAAATGCATTTTGGGTGGCGACAACTTCCTGGTTGCCCCCAACAAAGAAGAAATTGTCATGGGGCTTGAGTTTTTAACTGCAGTGGTTTGAATGGGAATAGGTTGTGACCGCACTTTGTCGTTTTTAGAAGACAAATTGATGCCAGACATGTTTAAATAGTCACTGTCGGTGCTGGTTCGTCTTTGGTCCTGGAAATCGCCAGGAGTCATGTCCACGTACCCGTCAGTATCTCGTGCACTGCCTTCTGGAATAGGATCAAATGGTGTGGCTTCAAAATGTGGAGATGATGAAAACGAATTAGTGCGTTTGGTAGTGTTTTTGCCAGACATGTCCAGATAATCGTGGGAGTGGTCAGTGGTCCAGGCTCCAGGCGACATTGCACTGCTTTTGGAACTGGTAGTTGTGTTGGAATTGGTTCTTTGACGTTGTTGCTGGTTCATGTCCACGTAGTCGTGACGGTAATTTTCGCCTAGGGGATTGCGCCCGAACTGTTTGATGTAATCGTGGAGGGTGATTGCGTTTAGTCTGGGACTGGCATGGACTGGACTGGATCTGGAATGATTATAATAATTATACTTCAAGGAGGCTTCAAAATGTTATAGAATTATGCTTATTTGAAGTTGCTACAACAACATCTGGATATCAATTTAAGGGCCAAATTATGAACTGACTGGTACACATCTGGATGTTACCTAGCAGGTACTTTCTATGAATTAGAGTTGTATCCAGTTGGTCCATAATTTGGTCCTAAGCCACAGCCCAGTTATCAATCTGATTATTAACAGAAAGTCCTAAACATCAGACAAAATCTCAATGGACAGAATCTGGCAATGGAGGAAAGACAAAACTAAAAGCACTAACATCAAATATCCAGAATTTTCATTATGTTTTAATCAATATTTGATTATTCCCGGCTCTTTGTAGGAAAATTTCCACACAATTCCACCACTGTGTTAAGATACAGGGTGATTAACGTTTTATTATCCCTGACTCTAAATATAGAAAATTTTTCACGAGATCCGGTAATAAAAAACAATGTTACCCACTGTAATTTGATTCAACAAAAATAAGCTACCTGTATAAAGATACAGAGTGATCAATATTTTATTATTCCCGGCACTTGTAGGAAATGTTTCAGACAACAATTCCACCACTGTGTTAAGATACAGGGTGATTAATGTTTTATTATCCCTGACACTAAATATAGAAAATCTTTCACAAGAGCCGGTAATAGAAAACAATTTTACCCACTGTAATTTGACTCAACAAAAATAAGCCACTGTATAAAGATACAGAGTGATCAATATTTTATTATTTTCAACTCTTGTAGGAAATTTTCAACACAACAATTCCACCACTGTGTTAAGATACAGGGTGATTAATGTTTTATTATCCCTGACACTAAATATAGAAAATCTTTCACAAGAGCCGGTAATAGAAAACAATTTCACCCACTGTAATTTGACTCAACAAAAATAAGCCACTGTATAAAGATACAGAGTGATCAATATATTATTATTCCCGGCACTTGTAGGAAATGTTTCAGACAACAATTCCACCACTGTGTTAAGATACAGGGTGATTAATGTTTTATTATCCCTGACACTAAATATAGAAAATCTTTCACAAGAGCCGGTAATAGAAAACAATTTTACCCACTGTAATTTGACTCGACAAAAAAAACCACTGTATAAAGATACAGAGTGATCAATATTTTATTATTCCCGGCACTTGTAGGAAATTTTCCAGACAACAATTCCACCACTGTGTTAAGATACAGGGTGATTAATGTTTTATTATCCCTGACACTAAATAATCTAAATATAGAAAATCTTTCACAAGAGCCGGTAATAGAAAACAATTTTACCCACTGTAATTTGATTCAACAAAAATAAGCCACTGTATAAAGAAGACAGGATTATTCCAGTCAAAAAGAATGCCTTTTGATCTATCTAACGCCGTTGGAACTTTTCATCCTTAACAAAAATGGCGACCAAGAGAGAGAGAGAGTAAATAAAATATTATTGACATAACTCAGATATAAAAAAACATGGAATAGACCTACTTTCACAAGTGGCCAATCATTAATTCTAAAAACTGAATTCTTACCCAGTCATATCCATATACTGATCCCTGGTGGCAACATTAGCAGCAGCATTACTACCACTCATATCCATATAAGGTGAATTATCCTTGACCGTAGTACTACCGCTCATATCCAAATAAGGCGAATAAGGATGTCCAACCAAAGGTACATCATTATTAGGATTATTGCCGCTCATATCCAAATAATAAGGTTGCGAGTTTGCAGCAACAGCCATATCGTGCATAGCAGTCAAATCTTTGTGATTCAAACGTTGTCCTTGGCTCATGTCCACATAAGGACTGTCAGTTGAAACAGTACGTCCTGGTTTCATTTCCACATAGCCATTGCAAGTGTTGTTGTTATGCTTCTTGTCGCCGATGCTGACGCCAAAATGCTCCAAGAACCCAAAGAATTTCCCTTTGGTACCATTACAGCTGCTGTTGCGATGGTTGCAGGAATTTGCGCTAGAACCCGAAGCGTTAGTGCTGCTCCTCGACCTACTAGTACCATTTGAAGAAAAGTCCATTTCCATTAAATCATCCATTGGGTTATGGTTGATGGAACCGTGCGAGCTTCCAGTGCGGGAATTAGGCAATAAAAGTGGAGCACTGCTGGATTTGACGCCTGGAATGTGATGGTGGGTTGTTGGTACCAGGACTCTGTTGAAGTACTTTTTGGTTTTGGAACCAACACTGAATGCGCGCACTCTAGCGTTCTCTGGCGTGCTTGATAGTTGATCCGGAGGTTTGGAACCAACCGAGTAAGCTCGGCACGGCCTAGTGTCATCGCCGTCTGCCGAAACATAAGAAAACACTTTGTCCAATGGGTAGTCGGCTAAACGTAAGTCGGCACTTGGAGTGCCTGAGGTTACACTACTCATGCTGGCACTGTTGGAAGCAGCTCCAATAGACATTTCAGTGTAGTTGTTGTGGAAATTCATTGGCAAATAATCGCCTGATTGGTTGTTGGCTCTAGGTGATTCCGGATAGTCTTCTTCAGCTATTACTTCTTCTGGGGTCATTGTGGAATAGTGACGGTACTCCATTATGTCGTGTCCGTCGTGTTCGTCAGGCAAACTGTATGATGATCCAGTGGAATCTGATGGAGGACTCATTGGACTCCCTAGAAACAGTATTGTAAATTATTATTGTTTGATTGGGTAATGGAAATGATCATAAGCGCAACTAGGCTGGAGTTTGATGGAAAGAAAATGAGACGCGTAAAAGGTTAGGTTCATGAGGGTTTGTACTTACGTCATCATTTGCCTTTTCTTTAAAAAAATAGGTTTTTTTTCTGTGACGGGAAAAAAGTAGACTTTTTGTACCTGTTGACAGGAGCAAAAATGTCACTTTTTCTCTCATGGGAAAAAAGTGATATTTTTTTCCCACGGGAAAAAAGTAACAGGTACCAGTCAATTTTTTTTCCCAAGGGAAAAAGTAACAGGTACCAGTCAAATTTTTTTTCTCAAAGGGAATAATGTATAAATGAAAAATGTTGAGATTTTCCCATCACAGAAAAAAATAGTGTATTATACATGGGAAAAAAGTAAGATTTTAGCGCTCACTGTGTTGTCTCCCTCCCACCTCGCGCTAAAATCTAGTACTTTTTCCCTTGTGTAATAAATAACTATTTTTTATGTCTGAAATTTCGAAAAAACTCACTTACATCATCGATGACGTCATAATTTAGAGAAAAAGTTATGTCATAGATTAATTCATGGAGCACCTTCGGAATTATTGTTTTGCAATACATTTTTTTAACTTAGAAGAGAATTTATCCAGTTATCCAAAAATATACAAATAAAATTTCTCCTAAAGTGATTTTTCACTGGAAAATTTTGAAATTTTGCTTTAATGAGATCCTCACTTTCCTCTTTTTCCTTTAATTAAAATGATCGCCCTCTTACATTCAAGATTCACGACAAAGAGAACGTCCTCAAGAAATTCACATCATTGATCAAGGGCGATAATTTTAATTCATATGTACCAATTGGTTAATCCCTAAGGTACTCCACATTCAGTACAGGAAAGTTTGGTATATGATGATTTTCCAGTTACGCACCTACCACGTCTATTTATAGGTCCGCTCTCCTCTACAAGATTTTTCAAATGGTTTGGTCCAATCGTTCTCTGCAGAAGTTCTCGAGCAAATTCTGCATTAATTTGCAACTTCCATAAGGATAGGGCCAAAATACCGATTTATTATAGCTCCACAGATGTTTACGAAATCAGAAAGATGAGCAGTGTGATGTATTGATATGCTGTGATCAGAAAAATGAAATATCGATTTGTAATGACCATTGCGCACCCGGATAACATATCGGGTTTTCGTTACCAATCGGCTTTAATGGGCGTCATCCCCTGAAAGCTGATGTTCTCCCGCTCTCACGCTGCATGGCATTCTATGGGTAATACCAAGTTGATCTTAAAGTAGGATGGCATCACGATAACCTCGGTCAACAATGAAAATATCATAATCTTCAAAAAAGATGCAGGGGTGGAAAAGTTGGTGATCTTAGTCAGCTATTTTTTTGAATAGCTAGTTTCTCTAAATACCAGTGCGATTTTGTTGTTTGCTATCCAGCTATAGAAAATTATGCAGCTTTTTTTGCAGAAGATTGAAATTACTTTTAACTTCTATTTTTGTCACGTCATAAAGACGTATGCAGCAACCTGTGCAGCAACTATCAAACTTATATTTTGATGATCTATTCACATATAGTAAAAGAACGTATGCAGTTATGCACCTTTTTCTTGGATAAAAAAAAAAAGATGAATCTTCTTATGCCATAAAAATCACCCTAATATGCAGAAGTTCAGCAGCAGTGCAGTAGTATCATGTTACTACTGAATTCACAGACTGTCTTTTCCTTCTCCAGTAAAGATTTAATGCTTATACGCCTCCTTGATATGGGAAATGCCACTAAAAAACTATCTTTCCGATTATATAATCCGTTTTTTTTTTTGGGAAAAAATGGAGTTTTTTTTCCTTTGAGAAGTAAGAAATGAATGGGGAAAAAAGACTTCAGATTTTTTCTGTTTGGATGAAACAATATACTCGTCACTTATTTTGTTTTCGGAAATGTGGTGAGCATAAACATAGCTACTTCCAATATATCAATTTTTACGTACACCATTAACATTATTATTTGACTTTTGTTCACTGGCTTATTTTTAAGGTAGGGGAAAATAATGTTTTTTTTTCGGAAGATTGGTTCACCCTTTGGGTTAATCTTTTTCAGTTTTTTAATATTATAGCTAACCTAACTGATAAAAATAGGTGCTGAGTATGCTAAAGCATAGGCTTGATGGCGCCACTTTGACACTCTATATCTCGAAAACTACTCGATGTACCCCCCTTTTTTTTTGCACGTAAACTATAAGGGCAACATGGACTACGTCATATAAAAAATTCAGACATTTTGACAGAAACCGATTTTCTGTGCATTTAGTGCGTCGTACTTTCGTAATTTTTATAATTTTCCTTAGTTTTTGCAATTTTCGCAAAATTCGTAATTTTCGTAATTCCCATAACTTTTTCGTTCCTTAATTTTTCGTAATTTTCCAAAATTCATCGTAATTTTTCTGTAATTTCCGTAATTTTTGAATAATTCCTGTTGTTTCTTAGATTTTCGTAATTTTTTAATTTCTGTAATTTCTCAAAATATTCAGTTACTTATTTTATAATTCCCCCTTAGTTTTTGTTACTTTCAAAAATTCGTAATTCCCGTAATTTTCAATTTTTTTTTTTTTTTGAATTTCCATTATTTCCGTAATTTCTCAGATAATTCTCCCTATTTCTATAATTCTTCCTTAGTCATTGCAATTCTTGGAAAACTCGTAATTTTCGTAATTCCCGTAACTTTTTCATAAATCCCGTAACTTTCCAAAAATTATCGTAATTTTTTCGCAATTCCCGTGATTTTTCCTTATCTCTTTAATTTCTATATATTTTCTGTAGTTCCTCAAATTTTCGTAATTTTGTAATTCCCGTAATTTCTCAAAAACTCCGTTATCTTTATAATTCGCCCCCAGTTTGTTGTGATGCTCAAAAATTAGTAATTCCCGTATTTTTTTTTTCTTGGAATTTTCGAAAATTCTCAAATTCCCGTCATTTCTCAAAAAATTCTCGTTAACTTCATAATTCCTCCTTAGTTTTTATAATTTTCGGAAAATTCGTGAATCCCGTAACTTTTTGTAATCCTTGTTATTTTCGTAATTTTTTGAAAATTGTCACAATTTTTTTAATTCCCGTGATTTTTTCGTATTTTTCCTAATTTTCGAATAATTCCTGTAGTTTTCAGATTTCCGTAATTTTTTAATTCCTGTAATTTCTCAGAAAACTTCGTTATTTTGATAATTCCGAAAACATGTAATTTTCGTATTTTATTTTGGGAATTTTCGAAATTTTGTAATTCCTGTTATTTCTCAGATAATTCTTGTTATTTTCATAATACCCCCTTAGTTTTTACAATTTTCGAAACTCCAAATTTTCGTAATTTCCATTATTTTCGTAATTTTTTAATTTCCGTAATTTCTCAAAAAAATTCCGTTAGTTTTGTAATTCCCCCTAAGTTTTTGAAATTTTCGAAAGTTGGTAATTTCCGTATTTTTTTTTTGGGGGATTTTCGAAATTTTTTAATTCCTATCATTTCTCAGATAATTCTTGTTATTTTCTAATTCCCCCTTATTTTTTTCAATTTTTGGAAAACTTGCTAATTTTCGTTATTCTGGCAATTTTTCGCGCTTTTCTCATTGTGATGTTTTCGTAATTCCAGTAATTATTTGTATTTTCAATTTTTGGAATTCGGAATTTTCTAATTCTCCCTAAGTTATTGCAATTTTCGAAATTTCAAAAACTTGTGATTTCCGTTATTTTGGGAATTACCGTAATTCACGTAATTTTGCAATAACTTTGTAATTCTTTCCCGTAGTATTTCGTAATACCCGTAATTTTTGTAATTTTCGTAGTTTTTCGTATTTTTCTCAATTCCCGTAATTTTTATAATTTCTCATAATTCCCGTAAATTTTCGTCATTTTACTGGGTTCCGTAAATTTTTATAATTCCCATTATTTTTCGTAATTTCCGTAATTTGTCTTGTTAGTTTTCGTAACTTTTCAAAAATTAGTACCTAATATTTAAATAATTGACGTAATTTTGGAGTAACTTCGTAACTCTTTTGTGTAATATTTGGCAATTCCCATAATTTTTCTAATTCCCGCAAAAATTATCGTTATTCTCGTAATTTTAAAATGAGGAAAAATGAGGATAAAATCGCGGAAAGTGATGATAAAATCGCAAAAAAATGAGTCAAAAATCGCAAAAAAAATATGAAAAAATTTCAAAAAAAGTGAGTTTAAACTCGCGGAAAAGTAAGATGAGACTCACGGAAAAATAAGGATAAAGTCACGAAAATTGAGGATAAAATCGCGGAGAATGAAATAGGAATCGCGGAAAAGTGAGGGTAACATCGCAAAAAAAAGTGAGGCAAGAATCGCGGAAAAATGAGATAATATTTACAGAAATGTGGGTTTACAATCGTGAAAAAGTGGATTTAAAATCGCGGGAAGTGATGGTAAAATCGCAAAAAAATGAGTCAAAAATTGCAAAAAAAAATATTCAAAAATCACAAAAAAAGTGAGGTCAAATTCGCGGAAAAGTGAAGACAATCGCGGGAAAATGAGGATGAAATAGCGGAAAAATAAGTTTGTAATCGCCGAGGAGTGAGAGTAAAATCGCAAAAAAGTGAGGGTGAAATCGCAAAAAAAGTGAGGCTAAAATCGCAAAAAAAGTATGAACAAATTCGCAAAAAAAGTACGAACAAATTCGCAAAAAAGAGAGTCAAAAATCTTAAAAAGAGCCAAAAATCGCAAAAAAGTGAAGACAAAATTGCAAAAAAGTGGGTCAAAAATCGCAAAAAAAAATGTGTCAAAAATTTCAAAAAAAGTGAGTGTGAATTCGTGAAAAAGTGAGATAAGAATCGCGGAAAAATAAGGTAATATTTGCGGAAAAGTGGGTTTACAATCGCGGAAAAGTGAATTTAGAATCGCGGAGAAGTGATAACGTCATCGATGACGTACGTAAGTACAAAAAGTAGGAACAAAAAAAATAAATAATTTGGTTGCACTGATTTTTTATATTAGTTTTAGGTAGTGCCACTGTAGGTAGTGCTATGGTGGGATGCCGAATGGGAGTGCTAATTTTTGCTTTAGGGGTGCTTAGCACTCCCAAGCACCCTCCTAGTTGCGCCTATGGAAATAATTACTAATTTTTTGACCGATATCCTGTTATTATTTAAAAAAAAAAAGATTAACATGGTCGTTATATTAAAAAAAAAAAAAAATGTTTACCAATTGGAGGACTATGGGAAGCATCTCTTAGATGATTATTTCTAAAGGGTACCAAATATGGCTTGCCCCAGCTTGGATTCCCATGAGTTCCTTCGCTACTGGTTCTAGGTCTTGTAGGCATACTGTCGCACCTTTCTCTGAAACCTGAAATCATTCATCATTAATTTATGGGGTAATAATATAACATTTGGCCAGTCATACACACACAAATAAAAGCAAACAAAAATATTTTGTAAAAGTACATACTGCATTTGCCCCCTCCGGGTGCACCCTGACTCTTTTTCTGATGATGATTGGTTAAATAAATGGAAGAATTATCGGTGGTTGTGGTTGTTGTGGTTGCAGGTGCACTAGTGACCGGTAACGATTGGGTGCGCTGGTGATTTCCCAGATTTGACCAGTTAGTACCTCCGCCTGAGGACAATTATTATGATGATAAGCTACACATTTTTGTTATTAATAATAAAGCATAATGAAATTTTAATTGGGAGTCCTTTATTTCCAGACAGCCAAAGCATTGATTACATAAGAGGCTTCAAGGTTTTATTATTATTATCGGGGTCTCTGTCTGGATGCCAGAATTAGATGTCACTACGACACGGTGTCTGTGGATATTTATATACAAAGTTTTTGTTGTTGTCGGCTACAAATAGTCGAAAAAATGGCGGCGCGAATCAATTGAGAAAAATAAAAACCCTTTAAGATTTTTGTAACTCGATCGGCGTACCTACTTTCGAAATGTCAGGCTGCGAAGAGAAAAACAACACACGAAAATAGATCCAGCAGGCTCTGGCATGCACTGGCGTTTTTGTTTTCAGGGACGTCTATCAACGCAAGGCAGGAATTTGATCAATTTGATACATTTCCTGCTCTTGATGTATAATGGTTGTTCATGGGAATGTCTCTATTACTAAGGGTTTTTCGACGAAATTTTGTGGAGCCCCATTTTTCTGGGCAAATCATTTAGTTGGAGCGAGAAAACTGTGAACTTCTAACTACTTTGAGTCAAGGCTAGGGTCTACAACTTCCATTACCAAGTCCGGGAATATTCCAAATATTATCAGTTTCTCATGCATTGGACAATTTGAGTTTCAGGACTATGGCCATTTGTTCCCAGCAAAATTTGAACTATTCTCCAGGCTCTTGAATCGTTGGCAAATATTTTCATGAGCCGGAAATATTCCAAATTTTGAATCATTATACCAGTTTCTGATTCATTGGACAATTTGGACTTTAGGACCACGTTATATTTAGGATGACGTCATCGAACAAGGTCAGACAATGTTGTCAATGTCTATGTTTATTCTATATTTTAACGTGACATTGAAATACCGGCCCTTAAAAAATCATTGGAGTCCCAAATATATAATAGTTATTTATGTATCAAGGGAATTATGCAGGTGTTAATACCCCAGGGCAACGTTTGTGTCCCGAGGGCCTCCGGCCCGAGGGACACCAATTGCCCGTGGGTATTAACTCCTGATAATTCCCGTGGTACATAGATAATTTTATATCCTACTGAATTTACTGTATTCTGTCTATTTTTATAAAGGAATAAGCCATAAATCAAAATTTCTATTTTTTGTCAAAGTGTTACCTATTCAAGGTAAAAGCGGGAGTTATGGAAATCCTTAACTCCCTTGGGAGTTATGATATCCTTAACTCCCTTCCTTAACTCCCTTGGGAGTTATGAAAATCCTTAACTCCCTTGGGAGTTAAGACCCTGTTTATGATTATCGTAACCAAGGTATTATATGGTTTTAATAGTTCAGTAGGATATAAATTAATTAACTGCGTATTATACAGGGTGTTCCTAAATATCATGTACAAACGGCAAAGGGTGATTCTTTGCTTGTTTTTTATGACTGAAATCTCAAATATGTTCTAGAAAATTGACTTATTTAAGCAAAATTTAAAAAAATTCACCCTTTTACATTTAAATTTTTGTCTGGAAAACTGGCAAAGGGAAAGTTTTGAAAATTTCCCAGGAATAAGAGGAAAATGAGGAGCTCGTTTTATGAAAATTTCAAAATTTTCCAGTGAAAAATCACTCCAGGAAAAATTTTGAAAAACTAACTTTTTTAGGCAAAATCTCGAGCAAAATTAAGAAGAATTCCCCCTTTTATTATCCATTCACAATCCGATGTCCACAGGTACAGGTAAAATTTATCACCTTTCAATGCTATTTGATAGGAAGAGGTGATAAATTTACCTGTACCTGTGGACATCGGATTGTGAATAGGATATACATTTTAATTTTTTTCTAGAAATCTGGCAGAGAGAAAATTGTGAAATTTTTCCAGAAGAAAAAGGAAAGTGAGGAGCTTATTATAGGAAAATTTCTCCAGGAAACATTCTGGGAAATTGAGTTTTTTAGGCAAAATTCACCCTCTTACATTTTAATTTTTTTTGGAAAACTGGCAAAGGGAAAATTTTGAAAATTTCACAGGAAAAATATGAAAGTGACGAGCTCTTTATAGGAAAATTTCGAAATTTTCCAGTGAAAAATCACTCCAGAAAAAATTCAAAGAAAATTAACTTATTTAGGCTAAATTAAGGAAAATTCACCCTCTTATATTTTAATTTTTTTCTGGAAAACTGGCAAAGGGAAAATTTTGAAAATTTCACAGGAAAAATATGAAAGTGAGGAGCTCTTTATAGGAAAATTTCGAAATTTTCCAGTGAAAAATCACTCCAGAAAAAATTCAAAGAAAATTAACTTATTTAGGCTAAATTAAGGAAAATTCACCCTCTTACATTTTAATTTTTTTCTGGAAAACTGGCAAAGGGAAAATTTTGAAAATTTTCCGGGAGAAAGAGAAAAGTGAGAAGCTCATTATAGGAAAATTTCGAAATTTTCCAGTGAAAAATCACTCCAGAAAAAATTCAAAGAAAATTGACTTATTTAGGCAAAATTAAGGAAAATTCACCCTCTTACATTTTAATTTTTTTCTGGAAAACTGGCAAAGGGAAAATTTTGAAATTTTTACAGAAGAAAGAGGAAAGTGAGGAGCTCATTAGAGGAAAATTTCAAAATTTTCCAGTGAAAAATCACTCCAGGAGAAATTTATTTATACATTTTCGGATAACTGAATGAACTTCATTCTAAGTTGAAAAATGTATTACAAAACAATAATTCCGAAGGTGCTCTATGAATTAGTTCTATGACTTAACTTTTTCTCTAAGTTATGACGTCATCGATGATGCAAGTAAAGATATATATAAATACAAGATGATTTTTCTAGTAGCAATCATGTTTAGGTACTTAGAAGTCCAAATGGGGTTTTTCACAAAATCATAAGGTACCTAATTTATCCCCAAGATTTGGACTATATTTGATCATACTTTTGATTATTGACGAATACTGATTCCTTCAAGAAAAATTATCCAGCGAATCAAGAACCGCTTATAGTCGAAATTTTGATTGTTACCGGCTCTTGAATTCATTGACAAACTTCTAGAAAACAATTCAAGAGCCGGGAATACTTCAAACTGTGATTATTAGCAATTCAAATTCAGTAGTGATTCAAAATTTGGACTGTTGAATCACTGTTCAATTTGTCTTAAGATAACCAACAGCCTGGAAAATCAATATCAGTGAGTATATGAGAAAATAATCAAATGGAAATCTTGAAGAAACACTTTGAATGCAAGCAAAACACATACACACAACCACAAAAATTAGTATAGGTAAATTGTTAATAAAGCATTGAAATTGTTGATTAAAATACGAACCTGAAATCGAGTGTCTCCTTTTACCGGTGCTCCTATGCAGAAGGTGGTTGTAAATGCTCATCGCCACACCACTCACTGCAATAAGCCCCATGCAAACCAATATTAATGCGACAAATATTTAGAAATATATAACAATTGTGCGTATTTTGATAAGGTGCTTAGTTAAAATTGATTAATTGACCCTTAGAAGGATGTTAGTAGGTATGTGAACACAAGCTACTAAGATTAGTTCCAGCAAAAACTCACAGTTGTTTGCTGGAACAAACCTATATAATTTTATGAGTTAGTAAATTAACAATATAAGAAAAAAAAAAAAAAGATCATACCAGTATTATTGGTACTGCTACAAGTTGCAGTTACAGGGGTTGTTAGTGTACTTTCAGAAATTGAAGTATCTGCAATAACAACTACAAGTTAGTCTATAGAGTAGTTTTAAGGACAGAATAAAAAATTAACACACAGACTAATTAGAGAACAGATCAATAACTATGGTATTGAGGTCAGAGATACGACGAAGCTCCATTGCAGCGTATAGTAAAAGGGAATTTGGGGCACTACAAGCCATTAGAATGAAGGGGGGAGGTAAACGGATCGAAAGGGGTGCAGGGCGCTGCTTTTCACTCCCTATATGAAATCAATAATAATTTGTTGCAATATATTTTATGTTTGCTCAGAGACAATAAAAACCGCCCCCCTGTTATACCCAAAGAGGGTAGATTGCTCAATAAAAATTGTGTTTGCAGAGTAAACAACAACAATTTTTTTTCCAGTAGAAGCTTTTCAACCGAAAATTGGCACGTTGTTGGTGGAAAATACGAGATTAGTGACGAAAATTGCAAACGACGCATTTATATGGCAAGTGGTTCGACCCAGACAGTGCTGACGAGGCTCGTATTCAAGCCATTGACGTCATACACGTGTGGACGGTTCACTACACTAAAGCCCCGTTTACCTTTAATTTTAGATTTGTATAAACAAAAACACATAATTGTACAGTGGAACTTCTTGATTTGAGCTTGCAGTCAAGTAAATCTAATACTGCAGCAATGAAATAAAAGGCAAACGACCTATATTCGAAGTGCAAACAATTTATAGCGTTCCACGTGCCTGCTCTAGTTTCGAAGCTGACTGCGTCGTAGCCGAAGCTGCTGCCAGGAGGCAATCAATGGGATTTTAGGACTTGTAATCTGTATGGCGCTGCTTATTTTATGATTAATTACTGAATGGGTACATTAGTACTAAACAAATCATTCACCAACATTCTACGCTATCGTCGATATAATTATTGTTTTATTATTATGCAAATGGTTGATAAGGAATTGTTTATAGTCAAATTTTGGCCTTCAGAGTGATTAGGGATTGGGTTTACTAAGGGCTAGAAATTCATTTACTTTAGGTTAATAGAGCTTAAAATACAACCAAATTTTGAGAACTATGTGAGAGTCTATACAACTTTCAAAGTAAATAAACAAGATATTAAATTATTTATCACTGCTAACCAGGCAGGGTTGGCAGAAATCTGGCTAATTGTATTATAGTGGATAGAGAATTGGATTTTTGATGTTTTTGTTGGATATTCCCGGCTCCTGGTTGAGTTCCTTTGGATTTTATATTCAAACCTCAATATCTCGGTAACCAGGAGAGATACTGGAACAACATTTTCAGGGTGAGTAGCTCTTGATAAGGGCTTTCAGATGGTATTTAGCTAAAGTCGCTAGCGTTTATAGTTTTTGAGAAAATTAAGTTTGAAGTTTTGTACAAAATTTTGACTAAAGTCCAACTTCGAAGGTTTGTATCTCAGGAAGTCCTTGAGCTACTGGAACCAATTTAGCACAATTTTGAAGAGAATTTATTGCTCTTTCTAATGATATATAATTGTAGCTAATTTGCTCAAATGTTATAGTAGATATGGGTAATTATTCATGAGCGTGTCAAGATTTTGAAAAATGTCCAGAGTCAAAAATGAGATTTCCTTTTGGATTTTTTTTTCTCGTCGAAATTTTTAAATCTAACTGATGTAAGAGTTGTTTCTGACTAATTTGAACTCGCTCTATCGATTTCTGAAGTCATAATTGGGAAAAACTCAAAAATAAAAATTTTCAATTTTCTGTACTTTTTCCTAAGGTTACCCCCTTTGGATTTTTATTTGCAAATCTTCAAACCTCAATATCTCGGTAACCAGAAGGGGTACTGGGACAAAATTTCCAGGGTTTGTAGCTCCTGATAAGGGCTTTCAGATGGTATTCAGCTGAAGTCGCTAGCGTTTAGAGTTTTTGAGAAAATTGAGTTTGAAGTTTTGGACAAAATTTTGACTAAAGCCCAACTTTGAAGGTTTATAGCTCAGGAACCCCTTGAGCTACTGGAACCAATTTAGCAAGGTTTTGAAGAGAATTTAATGCTCTTTTCAATGATATGTGATTGTAGCTAATTTGCTCAAATGTCATAGTAGATATGGGTAATTATCCATGAGCGTGTCAAGATTTTGAAAAATCTCTAGAGTCAAAAATGAGATTGCCTTTTGAAATTTTTTTTCTCGTCGAAAATTTTAAATCTAACTGATGTAAGAGTTGTTTCTGACTAATTTGAACTTGCTCTATCGATTTCCAAAGTCAGAATTAAGAAAAATTCAAAAATTAAAATTTCCAATTTTTTGCACTTTTTCTTAAGGTTACCCCCTTTGAATTTTTATTTGCAAATCTTCAAACCTCCATATCTCGGTAACCAGAAGGAGTACTGGGACAACATTTCCAGGGTTTGTAGCTCCTGATAAGGGCTTTCAGATGGTATTCAGCTGAAGTCGCTAGCGTTTATAGTTTTTGAGAAAATTGAGTTTGAAGTTTTGGACAAAATTTTGACTAAAGCCCAACTTTGAAGGTTTGTAGCTCAGGAACCCCTTGAGCTATTGGAACCAATTTTACACAGTTTTCAAGAGAATTTAATGCTGTTCCCAAAGATATATAATTGTAGTTAATTTGCTCAAATTTCATCGAAGATCTGAGCAATTATTCATGAGCGTGTTAAGATTTTAAAAAATTTCCAGAGTCAAAAATGAGATTTCCTTTGGGATTTTTTTTTCTGGTCAAAATTTTTAAATCTCACTGATTTAAGAATTGTTTCTGACTAATTTGAACTCGCTCTATCGATTTCTGAAGTCAGAATTGAGAAGAATTCAAAAATAAAAATTTTCAATTTTTTGCACTTTTTCTTAAGGCTACCCCCTTTGGATTTTTATTTGCAAATCTTCAAACCTCGATATCTCGGTAACCAGAAGGAGTACTGGAACAACATTTTCAGGGTTTGTAGCTCTCGATAAGGGCTTTCAGATGGTATGTAGCTGAAGTCGCTAGCGTTTAGAGTTTTTGAGAAAATTGAGTTTGAAGTTTTGGACAAAATTTTGACTAAAATCCAACTTTGAAGGTTTGTAGCTCAGGAACCCCTTGAGGTACTGGAACCAATTTAGCACAGTTTTGAAGAGAATTTAATGCTCTTTCCAATGATATATAATTGTAGTTAATTTGCTGAAATGTCATCGAAGATCTGGGCAATTATTCATGAGCGTGTCAAGATTTTGAAAAATGTCCAAAGTCAAAAATGAGATTTCCTTTTGGATTTTTTTTTCTCGTCGAAATTTTCAAATCTAACTGATGTAAGAGTTGTTTCTGACTAATTTGAACTCGCTCTATCGATTTCTGAAGTCATAATTGGGAAAAACTCAAAAATAAAATTTTTCAATTTTCTGTACTTTTTCCTAAGGTTACCCCCTTTGGATTTTTATTTGCAAATCTGCAAACCTCCATATCTCGGTAACCAGAAGAAGTACTGGGACAACATTTTCAGGGTTTGTAGCTCTCGATAAGGGCTTTCAGATGGTATGTAGCTGAAGTCGCTAGCGTTTATAGTTTTTGAGAAAATTGAGTTTGAAGTTTTGGACAAAATTTTGACTAAAATCCAACTTTGAAGGTTTGTAGCTCAGGAACCCCTTGAGGTACTGGAACCAATTTAGCACAGTTTTGAAGAGAATTTAATGCTCTTTCCAGTGATACATGATTGTAGCTAATTTGCTCAAATGTCATCGAAAATATGGGCAATTATTCATGAGCGTGTCAAGATTTTAAAAAATGTCCAGAGTCAAAAATGAGATTTCCTTTTGGATATTTTTTTCTCGTCGAAATTTTCAAATCTAACTGATGTAAGAGTTGTTTCTGACTAATTTGAACTCGCTCTATCGATTTCTGAAGTCATAATTGGGAAAAACTCAAAAATAAAAATTTTCAATTTTCTGTACTTTTTCCTTTGGATTTTTATTTGCAAATCTTCAAACCTCCATATCTCGGTAACCAGAAGGAGTACTGGGACAACATTTCCAGGGTTTGTAGCTCCTGATAAGGGCTTTCAGATGGTATTCAGCTGAAGTCGCTAGCGTTTATAGTTTTTGAGAAAATTGAGTTTGAAGTTTTGGACAAAATTTTGACTAAAATCCAACTTTGAAGGTTTGTAGCTCAGGAACCCCTTGAGCTATTGGAACCAATTTAGCACAGTTTTGAAGAGAATTTAATGCTCTTTCCAATGATATATAATTGTAGTTAATTTGTTGAAATGTCATCGAAGATCTGGGCAATTATTCATGAGCGTGTCAAGATTTTGAAAAATGTCCAAAGTCAAAAATGAGATTGCCTTTTGAAATTTTTTTTCTCGTCGAAATTTTCAAATCTAACTGATGTAAGAGTTGTTTCTGACTAATTTGAACTCGCTCTATCGATTTCTGAAGTCATAATTGAGAAAAATTCAAAAATTAAAATTTCCAATTTTTTGCACTTTTGCTTAAGGTTACGCCCTTTGGATTTTTATTTGCAAATCTTCAAACCTCAATATCTCGGTAACCAGAAGGGGTACTGGGACAAAATTTCCAGGGTTTGTAGCTCCTGATAAGGGCTTTCAGATGGTATTCAGCTGAAGTCGCTAGCGTTTATAGTTTTTGAGAAAATTGAGTTTGAAGTTTTGGACAAAATTTTGACTAAAGCCCAACTTTGAAGGTTTGTAGCTCAGGAACCCCTTGAGCTATTGGAACCAATTTTAGACAGTTTTTAAGAGAATTTAATGCTGTTCCCAAAGATATATAATTGTAGTTAATTTGCTCCAATGTCATCGAAGATATGGGCAATTATTCATGAGCGTGTCAAGATTTTAAAAAATATCCAGAGTCAAAAATTAGATTTCCTTTTGATTTTTTTTTCTCGTAGAAATTTTAAAATCTCACTGATGTAAGAGTTGTTTCTGACCAATTTGAACTCGCTCTATCGATTTCTGAAGTCAGAATTGAGAAAAACTCAAAAATAAAAATGTTCAATTTTTTTCACTTTTTCTTAAGGTTATCTATCCCCTTTGGATTTTTATTTACAAATCTTGTGGTTTGTTTTCGAGATTTGACTATGGGAGCATTGCTAAACAATAATATTTACACTTGAAACTTTCTACAGCAATATTTCATAAGGATACAATATGTGGAAATACATGGTTATCCGTGGAGATACATGGATACTCAGAGGAGGAAGATACATGGAGATCCACTAGAGATACATGGAGAACCGGTAGAAATACGTGGTGATCCAAGAACTTCGACTGCAGTCCTGTTGAATTGTGTGCATACATCATTTTAACTGGTATTATGGTTATTAATATATTGGAGTTCCGGAGGAGATAATATACGAAAATCCATGGAAATCCAAATAATTTTCATGAAGATCCAAAGATATGCCTGAAGATCCCAGTATAATATCCCTGGAGAGCCAAAGATATCTATAGAGTTACAAGAAGTTTTTGACTAATGGAAATCTTCTGTCCTATGGGATGGAGATCCGTTGAGATACTCGGAAGGAGATCAGTGGAAAGCCATAGATATCTGTGGAGATACATAAACATCCGGTGGAAATACATGGAGATACGTAAATATCTGGTAAAAATACGTGTAAATCCAAGAACTCAGTCGTGTAGATTCGGGAAACTTTACCTAATTGCGTACCAAGGATATCCATGCAGAAAATCTCCACAAATGAATTTCCTGAATTTTCCTCTAGCCAGTAGGATAGTTCAAGTTTCTAGTCAAAGGAAAGGAAGAATTGAGGAAAATTGAGCAAATCCTTGAAAAAAAACTTCTTATGGGGAATTTTACTCTGCCTCTTTCTGGATTCCCATTGTCTTTTCTTCTCTTTCCAGACTTTCGGGTTTTTTTGTTATGAATTTGCATATATCGACAACCCAGCCAGAATTATAGAAACTCAGTTGTTTACATCTTAAACGTGTCTATTTTAGGAATTTTATGGTAGGTATTCCAGAAAACAAGACTTCTAGATGAATCTGGACGCTTGAGTCTGTAAATCCTTGGAGATCCAAGAATATCTATGGAGATTTCTACAAATGGAGATTTTCTGTCCTAAAAAATCGCAAATGACTATTTCCGAGGGGGTAGCCACAGTGGAAATCTTCTGTCCTATATACAGGATAAAGATCTCATGGATTTCCGTTCAGATATTTGAAGGGAGATCTGTGGAAATCTTGTGGGGATACGTGAATATCCGGTAGAAATAAATACATAGATATGGAGATCCGGTGAAAATCCAAATGATCTCTATGGAGATTCAAGGAATTCCCTAGAGAATCAAGGATTTGCCTGGATATTCAGGATATCCGACACCTAATTTCCATCGTCGCAATCCTCTGATGAGACATTTCTTTCTCTCATGAAATTTTGTATGGTCTTTTCCAGTTTTTGAGTAAATTGAGTTTGAAGTTTTGGACAAAATTTTGACTAAAATTCAACTTTGAGGGTTTGTAGCTGTAGCTCAGAAACCCCTTGAGGTACTGAAACCAATTTAGCACAGTTTTGAAGAGAATTTGATGCTCTTTTCAATGATACATAATTGTAGTTAATTTGCTCAAATATCCTCGAAAATCTGGGCAATTATTCATGAGCGTGTCAAGATTTTAAAAAATATCCAGAGTCAAAAATGAGATTTCTATTTGGATTTTTTTTTTCTCGTCGAAATTTTTAAATCTGACTCATGTAAGAGTTGTTTCTGACTAATTTGAACTCGCTCTATGGATTTCTGAAGTCAGAATTGAGAAAAACTCAAAAATAATTTTTTTAAATTTTTTGCACTTTTTTCGAAGGTCACCCTTTAGATTTTTATTTGCAAATCATCAAACCTCAATATCTCGATAACCAGAAGGAGTGCTGGGACAACATTTTGAGGGTTTGTAGCTCCTGATAAGGGCTTTCAGATGGTATTTAGCTGACATCGCTAGCGTTTATAGTTTTTGAGAAAATTGGGTTTGAAGTTTTGGACAAAATTTTGACTAAAGTCCAACTTTGAGGGTTTCCTGCTGAGGAACCCCTTGAGGTACTGGAACCAATTTAGCACAGTTTTGAAGAGAATTTAATGCTCTTTCCAATTATACCTGATTGTAGCTAATTTCCTCAAATTTCGTCGAAGATATGAGCAATTATTCATGAGCGTGCAAGATTTTAAAAAATGTCCAGAGTCAAAAATGAGATTTCCTTTTGGATTTTTTTTTCTCGTTGAAATTTTTAAATCTGACTAATGAAGGAGTTGTTTCTGACTAATTTGAACTTGCTCTATCGATTTCTGAAGTCAGAATTGAGAAAAACTCAAAAATTAAAATTTTTAATTTTTTGCACTTTTTCTTAAGGTCCCCCCCAATATCTCGGTAACCCTTTGGATTTTTATTTGCAAATCTTCAAACCTCAATATCTCGGTAACCAGAAGAAGTACTGGGACAACATTTTGAGGGTTTGTAGCTCCTGATAAGGGCTTTCAGATGGTATTTAGCTGAAGTCGCTACCGTTTATAGTTTTTGAGAAAATTGAGTTTGAAGTTTTGGACAAAATTTTGACCAAAGTCCAACTTTGAAGGTTTGTATCTCAGGAACTCCTTGAGGTACTGGAACCAATTTAGCCCAGTTTTGAAGAGAATTTAATGCTCTTTCCAATTATACATGATTGTAGCTAATTTGCTCAAATGTCATCGAAGATAGGGGCAATTATTCATGAGCGTGTCAAGATTTTAAAAAATGTCCAGAGTCAAAAATGAGATTTCCTTTTGGATTTTTTTTTCTCGTCAAAATTTCTAAATTTCACTGATGTAAGAATTGTTTCTGACTAATTTGAACTAGCTCTATCGATTTCTTAAGTCAGAATTGAGAAAAACTCAAAAATAAAAATTTTCAATTTTTTACACTTTTTACTTAGGTTATCCCCCTTGGATTTTTATTTGCAAATCTTCAAACCTCAATATCTCGGTAATCAGAAGAGGTACCAGGACAACATTTTCAGGGTAAGTAGCTCTTGATAAGGGCTTTCAGATGGTATTTAACTGAAGTCTCTAGCGTTTATAGTTTTTGAGAAAATTGAGGTTGAAGTTTTGGACAAAATTTTGACTAAAATCCAACTTTGAAGGTTTGTAGCTCAGAACCCCTTGAGGTACTGGAACCAATTTAGCACAGTGTTGAAGAGAATTTAATGCTCTTTCCAATGATATATAATTGTAGCTAATATGCTCAAATTTCATCGAAGATATGGGTAATTATTCATGAGCGTGTCAAGAATTCAAAAGAATTTCAGAACCAAAATTGAGATTTCCTTTTTTATACCGAAAGTTTCGAAATTCTGCCTTGATGAGTTTCCCAGAAAAGCATCAAAATATGACAGGGTGACTTAAATTTAGAATTTCAAATTTGTCAACATTCCAAAGTACAGATTTGTTCGAAACTTGAAAACTATCGTCTAAATCTGTTCTGAAACGTGTCCAACATAAAGACAGAACATTTTTAGAACCTTAAAGGATCAAATGGTGAGGAATTCACCCTTTTACAATAAAACTTACAGTCAAAACACTACAGAGAAGATCAAATTTGTCTGTCCACAATGTTATGATGGATTCCAATCGTCTTACGTCAAGAATCTTTTTCCTTTAAGAACTTAATAAAGACTCAAATTCCCAGACAGCATACAAAGTTTTAAATACGTCTTTCTTAGGTCTGCATTACGTCTAGAAGACGTTATTTTGAAGATGTTTATAAGATTTCGAAAATTCACATCTTGAAGACAAGTATATTTGGTACAACCAAGCCCAAAACTGAATAGGTAATGGTTTATGTATCGAAAAAAGATTCAAGACATCCCTACATTTTCAGAATTTCACAGGATCATTGAGTGAGGAATCCGACCTTTCACAATCCACCGAGAATCAAATTACCAAAATTCTAATAATTATCTTGCAACCCTATCTAAGAGTCAAAAAACTGCAGAGAGGATCAAATTTTTCTTAGATTCCAGCTTTATGAAAAACACGCTTATTGGAACAAATCTTTTTCCTGAGCTGAAAGACTCCAATTCCAGATAAATATGGCAGACACGATAAAAACACACTGAAATAATAATAGTTTTTCATTTCTATTCTTTGGAGACCAAAGTGAGCTAAAACCCAGTAAGGAGAACCTAATTTTTCTCCAAAATTTGGCTGTAGAAGGCTGTGGAATTAGGCTTTAAAGTCAATAATAATGATGAGACCTTGTTTCTTTTATGATCTCTGAAGGCCAAAATTTGGCTGTACAAGGCTCTAATATCGATAAGTTACTACACAGAAAAACATTCTTACCTTGAGCCTGAATCCCACTACCCTTAACAGGTTTGTCTTTTTTGCTGTTTTTAGCTGACTCAGTAGCGCTGGCAGATCTATGACGTCCTTTAGGTTGTAGATCAGAAGATGGTTCCGTGGAGCTGGTAGTTTTGCTCCGTTCTCTTGCCAACTTGAATCGACTGAAACAAAAAACAATATCCTACGTCATTGAAATTCAGGTAAACAATAACGTCGACTTGCGTCATTTTTTTTGTAATGTAGTTTATCGGTAAATAATAATCATATTGTGCTGTGTTGACGTAAGAAAGATATAACTATAAGTTTTTTTTGTATATGGGTAGTTTTTCCCTTACTATTTCATGATTTCTGAAATTGAAGCGACTATATCCTGTTTTGTTGTGAAACAACAGCAAATAGGCAAATTAGTCTAGTCTAGGAGGATCGCATTTGCAAAACAACTTTATTTTTGCTTATGGCCTACACCAGTGTCGTAGATATTATTCTATATATAGTCCAGTATAAATAAGGTAGGTACTGTTTATTTTTTACCCAAAAAACTGTTTTGTTTGCCATTTGAAATAAACAAAACATTATTATTTATCTTTTGCATGTATAAATAATGTGCTTCTATAAATAGTATAAAAATATGTTTGTTTAAAAAGATTTATGATAAAAACCCAGCAGGGACATGGAGTAAAAAAGAGTTTTGTTACTGAAACTTTGATACCGAAACGGTGTTGTTTCCAACATGGAAGATCATGAGTTTTGGGAAGAATTTTTGAATTCATATAAATTATTGATTCAACTGAACTGATGTTTCCTCAAACGTGTACGAGCAGTTGAAACATATGGATACAAATCTCAACATAAATATGGGGCCATTATAGTAACTTTATGAATTTAAAATGTTTGCTATCAGAAATTATTCTGTGTTACACGCATAATTCCTTTTTTTTTTCCTATAGTTTTTAGTTCATTGCCGCCACTGTCTGGTGTTTACCAGACTCGAAATAACAAATAAATTCATCATAATTAAATTTATTCGCCTGCTCGAAAACAGCTGATGTCGTAAGATAAGCAAAGCGAATCGAAAAATATATTTGTTGCCTTTGCGAATTGATAGTGTCCTTGTCCACCCTATATTAAAAAAACATTAATCGTGATAAGAAGACATTAAACAAGAAATTCACATTTGTTTTGAGAAAATAAGGGTCATTCGACACACAGTCCATTATTGTTTTAGTAGATGTGATGCAATATCCGCACTCATATGCATGAGAATGCGTTTACCAGACAAGTCTCGTGCGTTTTTGGCCTTGTTTCGAAAGAAAGTCGCTTTGTTTTCAACTTTAATTGTTGAATTTGTACCGGGGAATCTCTGACAGAACTTCTATACAAGACATTATTCATCAAACAATAATCATCATTGGGGTTTTGAGTTTGACATATGTATTTTTATTCATAATTGATTTGGAATCATTTTGGGCTTATGATAGTTGTTTTAGAAGTTTCACAAAAGATATAACCTTGCGTTCGGTATTTTGCTCGAAGAGCAGAGCGTGCTGAGTGGAGCCGTAATCACGTGACCAGCGAGGGAACAGAGCAGTTGAACGCTATATAAAAGTGCCAGAAATTTTAATAAACGAACGCGAATGAGGCTGCACCGAGTACACTTTTTAAATAAACGAACGGTAAAGTCATGCTCGGAGAACTCAGACCAAAATAACGAACGCACGGTAAGTATTCATCATTGAGCGAGTTCCTGAAAACTCCCTTGAAAGCAAATTCCATTTTTGTCAACAAGTCCTCATATTTCAAAAAACTCCCTGTATGTATAAAAGTATCAGCAACGACATTGTTTAATTTAATTTTGATAAGGCATTTGGTTGAACTTTGTTGTGTTAGACATACATACATACATACATACATCCATGTATAACATCTGACATTAAAAATGTTTTAATAACTTTTCCTCAATATCTAAATCTCATATTAACACTAAAATTTAAATATTGGCTTTATTCATCTTGACACATCAACATGCTGCCCTACTGGAATTCTTGACAATTACCTATTCTTTCTGAAACTCCTGAGTCTTAACAAAACTCCTGTCAAGGAAATTATACATTTGACAACAAGTTGTTGTCTTTGAACTCCTGACAACAACTTAATAAAACTATGTCAAAGAAATTTCACCGACCTTGGATCTGGCAAGTGGTTTTCACCAAATTGAAATGGCTAACGAAGATATACTTATGCAAAACTGCTTTCAATATCGGGAATGGCCGTTACGAGTATGTCCGGATGCCGTTTGGTCCAAAAAACGCTCCAGCTACGTTCCAGAGGGTAATGGAATCCAGGCTTATCATCAAGGGAAAACAAATCATCGAGGAATTAACGAAACCGAAGCGCAAATCCGGAAGAAATATTATCAACGAGATATTGAAAATATCATAAATGTTTGGGACACCTGTCAGTCAAACAAATACGATAGGAATTCAAACAAACCTAAATTCATGATTACTCCAACACCTATTAGACCTTTGGAAATTATTCATCTAGATACCTTTCAAGCCGGAGGGCAAAAGTTATTAACAATTATTAATTCCTTCTCAAAATATGGACAAACCTAACCCATAGAGGAATTAAATTCAGTGAATGTTCTTAATGTCCTCCTAATCTTCATGGAATACCACACATAATAGACACCGATAGTGGAACAGAACTTAAAAATGGACTCATACAGGAGTTTGTAGATATACATAAGATATCTATCCATTATAATAACCCACAAACCAACGGGATGATAGAAAGATTCCACTCCACCATTATCGAACACCTAAGAATACTTCGAGAAAATGAAAAATCCTCATATGCCATATGCAATTCTTGGATACAATAATTCTATCCAATCAATGACAAATATGCGACCAATAGATATATCGACTGGTCACCTGGATGCGCAGGATCCGTTCGACGTTGACGTCACTTATAAATAATTATACTCAGCTACACAAGGAAAAAACAAAGACTATCTACAGGAAATTGAATCGAAAGCTACATGAATCCAAAGAAAAGTACATAGGAAGATCTACACCAGAAGAACTACTTCCAAATCTCAGGAACTATAAGTGCAAATGAGCTGAAATGTTCAGGGATGCTAGTGCCTTTATTGAGATAAGATTCAGTGAAAATGTTTGTATCCTAATGGTCAATTAACATCCCCCAAACTCCATACACTAAATTATTCTCAGATTTGAAGCCGAAATCCATGAAAAAAGGCACTCAGAAAAATTGAAAAATTGATAAATCACCCCAAATTGCTTAGCATGATTTTATCTCAGGAACTATAAGTGCAAATGAGCTGAAATTTCCAGGGATTGTAGTCTTTTGATTGAGATAAAATTCAGTGAAAGTTTCAGTTTTCTATCTATAATAGAAAAAAAGTTATGACTTTTCAAAGTTTTCCAAAATCTAAATCATAAGGTAGGTAACTTCTTACTAAAACGATGAAATTTCAATTTTTTTTTTGTCGAGATTTTGTATCCTAATTGTCAATCAACATTCTCCAAACTCCATACACTAAATTATTCTCAGATTTGAAGCCGGGGAAAACCCTTAATTCGCCCTTTGATCTCCTGACAATTATTCTTTTTGAAACTCCTGCAACCTTAACAAAACTCTTTCAAGCAAATTTCACATTATTTGTCAACAAGTCCTCGTATATCAAAAAAGAGAATGTTTATCATGGGAAAATTTCCGCATTTCGTGACAAAACCTTGCCCTGTCTCTTTTGTTTTCATGCGTGCTACCAATATTTAATCAATCCGGTTGCAACAATGCCTTTCCAAAAATACCGCGTCTCGTGTCTATATACTAGAGAGAGTTACAGATAATTTAAAAAGTCATAGTGCAGGCCAAAAAAAAACTACACACATACACACGGTCTAGACACATAAATATATTCTCGGATAATGTCAGCCAAAAAAATCAAAAATACTATAGAGTATCTAGAGAATTTTTGTAGGTATTAGTAATTGTCAAAAAAAAAATATTGTATACTTACTGGCTGACGGTTGTCTGGATATTCAAAGCGATGTTGGTGTCGTCGGCTTCGAACCAAATTTCTCCGGCACCGATTTCGCTCATTCTGCCCACCTGAAAATAAACGTAAATTTATTATAGTTTTTGTCGGAAAAATTACATAATTTATGAGGTTTTAAGTTAACGACGGCGCCATAATGAAACAATAGCCTATGCAATGGAAATTTTTACGAGACGAATTTTTATGGGGTTCATTCATATTTTTGCAAAGTAATAAAATGGTTATTCATTTCAGAGATTAATGGGTTTTGTATGATACGGAATAAAACTCAACTTCAAAGAATCATCTGACAGACAAATTGAACTATTACTTATTTGAATTTCAAGCTTTTTGAGCTTACCACCAATTTCCTCAGAAACTTCCCAGTAAACACTTTTGTGACATTTCATAATAATTTAAGATCCGAAGGAAATTCGTTTTCAAATATTTCAAAGGGCCATATTTTGGAAATCAGACAAGCTATTGGTACGAAATTTCGTCCAATTGTAGATCTCGTTTGGGGCTTCAAAATAGGTTATATGGAACATCGACCCCTACGGCTTCGTTTTCGAGATAATCGGCTTGGAATGTTTTTCAAAATTTGAGACAAAGTTTCAACTTTGAGGCTCAATATCTCGAAAACTATTTGAGATAAATGATTCAATTTGGTTTTATTTTAAAGAGCATTTAATTCTGATTTAGAATATATAAATATGCGTCAGAATTTGTAGAATATCAATTGAGTTATAAGCAATTTTGTGAGGGAATGTCTGATGACCAAAATATTTCAGGGCAAAAAATACCAAAATCCTTTTTAATTTTTTATAGGCCCTAAAACCTCGGAAACAAAAATCATGACAATGCTTTTCCACTTAATTTGACCCCCTCTTTCAATTGGTAATATCAAAAATTGGAAAATTTGGAAAACCCAAAATTGAAATTTTTCCAAGGGGTATGCAAGGAAATTCCATTTTTAAATATTTCAAAGGGCCATATTTTGGAAACCACAAAATCTATCGGTATGAAATTTTGTCCAATTGTAGATCTCGTTTGGGGCTTCAAAAAAGGTTATTTGGAACATCGAGCCTTAGGGCTTCGTGTTCGAGATAATTGGCTTGGAAGGTTTTCCAAAATTTGAGACAAAGTTTCAACTTTGAGGCTCAATATCTCGAAAACCTTTTGAGATAAATGATTCAATTTTATTTTATCTTGAAGAGCATTTAATTCTTATTGAAAATATATAAATATGTATCAAAATTTTTAAAATATTGATTGAGTTATGAGCGATTTTGTGAGGCAATGTCTAATAATCAAAATTTTTCAGAGCAAAACATGCATTTTTAATTTTTTACAGGTCCTCAAACCTCAAGAACAAAAATCACTTGAATGCTTTTCCACCATATTTGACCCTCTCTCTCGATTGGTAAAATCAAAAATTGGAAAATTTGGAAAACCCAAAATTGAAATTTTTCCAAAGGGTATGCAAGGAAATTCCATTTTCAAATATTTCAAAGGGCCATATTTTGGAAACCACAAAATCTATCGGTATGAAATTTTGTCCAATTGTAGATCTCGTTTGGGGCTTTAAAAAACGTTATTTGGAACACCGACTCCTAGGGCTTCGTTTTCAAGATAATCAGCTTGGAAGATTTTTCAAAATTTAAGACAAAGTTTCAACTTTGAGGCTCAACATCTCGAGAACTATTCGAGATAAATGGTTCAATTTTGTTTTATCTTTAAGGCCATTTAATTCTGATTAAGAAAATATGAATATGCATTAGAATTTGTAAAGTACTAATTGAGTTATAAGTGATTTTGTGAGGCAATGTCGAATGTACAAAATTATTCAGGACCAAAAATGCATAAAACTATGTAATGTAAATTTTACTATCTACTTGAGTTTACGTATAAATTTCTACCCTAAATGTAGGTAGCTGTGTTTTATTTTGTTAAGTTTCTTAAAACTGATCTAAATGTTAAGTTTATTGAGGCAGACTTCCTTAAGAAGCTCAATTATTGTGTGAACAGATTGTTCTGAGAGATTCAAAACATTGAATAAAAAAAATCACTGTGCAAAGGGGAACTGAAAAGGCTCTAGAGCTTCAACTATTACAAACTTAGATTGAAGCTTTTGAAGGTCCAAATATAAAATGTTTAAAGAGCATAAGTAAGAGAAACTTCAAAAAATAAACAAAATCTTCAATGAGTACCTGGTAAAAAGGCAATGAAGGATTCAAAACCTGCTTCTTAGGGAATAATGGTGCTTCAAAAATCCATATGTAGAAGCCTAAAAAGATGATATTGCTACGTTTTATCTCACATCTTCTACTATAAGAAGTTCAAATTCTGGAATATTTGAGTAAAGAAACTTATTCCTGGATCTTGTCAAGTTTCACTGAGTCCATTATTTCTCATGCTTTCATTATTCATTGTCAAAAACTTAAGTCCAAAGTTTAAGAGAAGCTTCTCAACATAAGGCATTGAAACGAGAAGCTTCAGAAGAATCTGAATAGCTAGTTCTGAGGGACAGTAAAGCTTCCAGAATTTAGACCCAAAAGCTGGAAAAAGGGTTTTCAAAAAAGCAGCCACATTTGAAAGAACAAATTTAAAGTAACTTAATTCATTTGCTACTTCTGATAAGGGCCAATTAAAAAAGAGAGCTTCAGAAATCTACGCTAGATGCTTAAAAATGACACACTTACAAGAAATTCTAAAGCTTCAGAAGAAAACTATTGAAAAAAATAAAATAAATCAGTTTCTCCAGAGGAATCTACCATAACTGGAGAGACCTATATGATATATGATACACTAGTGGAAATCATTGTAGTTTTTTTTGGAAATCACATAGTAGTCCATCAGGAATACATGGAAATCACTTGAGAGTTCTTGAAAATCACCTGTAAATCGCTAGGAATCTCCTAGGACTCCTGGGAATTTAATATGTCATTATAACCCAGAAATCGCATATCATACATTTTAAACGATATAGGACTAAGTTTTAGGCAACATTGAGTGCTAGACAATTTGAAATGAATATGATATCCCAACGAGTTTCCCAATAACTGAACCCTGATGAAGATTAGGTCTGTTCTCACAGAAATTACAAACCAGTCAGAGCATTTTTGGATGGTGTAAATCGCTAACAACCAGTTTTCTGACTGTTTTCAACCAATGCTCTGACTAGTTTATGATTACTGTGAGAACAGACCTAAAGTATGACAATGTTGTAGATTATAAAAGTGAAAACATGAATCTTGAAACCTCTCTCAAATCCGACTTGCCAAAAGAAGACACAGAATTTCTTCACACGTCAGGGTTTAGCAATTGCGATTTCCTACAATTAAGAGATTATTCAAGGCTCAACTTTAATTTGGCTCTTTTCAGAGAAGCAGGGACATTTTCCGATCAAGTATTGAGAGTAATGGGAATGTCCCTGAAAAAAACCGAAAAGAAAAAATCGGAAATCCAAGGCAATAAGAAATTGTGAAGGGAAAACAGAAAAAATACTAGGCAGGGCGAGAAGCAGAGACAATAAGCACATCTAAATCAGAAATAAGTTTGTCGAGTGAAACCCTAACTGAAGATGTCTCTGATTTAGATGAACAGAGCACAATTTTCAAGAATATAGAATGAAATATAGGACATATCATTTGAAAAAAGCTGGAAGCATGCAAAATTTCACATTTCTGATATTCAAATTTTGTTTCTGACCATGGTTTCTAAAAATTTAGCCAAAATTGTACAACTTTTGTATTTACACCTTTCTTCTACCTGTGCAGATGAAGGCTGTAGGTGGGGTGTCAATATATAAAAAAACACTCTGTACAAATAAGTGGAATATTGCGGAACTTTTGAGTGGACCTCTACTGACCAATATACTGTTAAACTGTTCAAATAAGACACTCACCTGAAACGTGTAGTTTTTGAACTAATCAGAAAAATTCACAACTGAGTGAATCAGGTTAGTATTGTACTTGAACAACATATTGGTGAATAGATGGCTGGGTCCACCCATAAGTTCCGCAACAATCCACTTATTTGTACTTGAACAATAACTTATTATATAAAGTCAAAATTTGTAAGATTATCTACTTTTGGCCTTTTAACAGGAATTAGTAATGTTACTTTACCAAACTAGTAATATATTGTGACAAGTTATTCAAGTACAAACGAGTGGATTGTTGCGGAACTTATAGGTGGACCTCTGCGGGACGAGCGCAGCGAGTTCCGCAGCCATCTAATCACCAATATATTATTGTACTGTTCAAGTAAGACATTCACCTGAAATGTGTAATTTTTAAACTAATGAGAATAACGCACATTTGAGTGAGTCAGTTTAGTGTCGTAATTAAACAACATATTGATGAACAGATGGCTGCGGAACTCGCTGCGCTCGTCCCGCAGAGGTCCACCCATAAGTTCCGCAACAATCTACTCGTTTGTACTTGAATAACTTGTCACAATATATTACTGATCAAAGAAAAATCCATTATTTTAGATCCATATTATGCAGTGTAGACACGCAATGGTATCTAGGACTCAACAACTATTTATACCTACAAGAAAATCTGTGTGGGTGTGGACAACCATGAAAATAAAAGTTGTTAACTTTTGGAAGAGTTACAAATACAGAAGTTGACAATTTTTCAGTGGAAACGTGTTTTTATAAGAGAAAAGGCTGTTTATTTTGATCATGCGAAGCTACACAATTAGACATCGTTTTCGTAAATTGGATGATTGTAGGAAATTATCAAGGAAATCAGGTAATCAATTGAGAATGACATAGGAATCCCCAGAAAAAACGCCTGGTAATCATACAACAATATCTGAAAATCATTGGCAATCAGTCGCAATTCTTGAGATGGGAATACATGAGATTCATTGGATCAGTGATTCCAAATATGGAAATCATTGTAAAATTGTAAGTATAGTAGTTGACCCCTCGACTATACATACCTCTTTGAGAGAGCTTCAAAAACCTAAACCAAAAGTTACAAGAGATAAATTTTTGAGAAACTAATTTTGGAAAAAAGCTTCAAGAATCCATTGCAGATTTCTAAAAAGTTTTACTTCC